CCACAGAATAAAAATCGCATACGTCTATTTCTTGACAACTGTCGATTTTCACGTGCATGTTATGACTGTGTGTGTGTTTGCGTATGTTTTATATTATTGTAAAATCGCAATATTTATTAGTTCCCTATACGCTGGTTTTTAAATACGTTCATAAACTTACTTATATTATTTATTCATAACTTTGCCAATGTAATACCGCGCCAATTTAGGTTCGTTCGCCAAAATCCCACGCCAAAACGTTTCAGAACTTATTTGCCAAATTTGTATTAACAGATACGGGGCTAATATTGTAAGCTGTATTCTATAATTCAAGCTATTCACAATGCCACGCCAATTTTAAACAAATATTGTTGAAACGAGAATTCAAACAATGAAAATGAAACAAACACGAAAATCATTTCACACATCTATTGTCTCTGTCGCACAATGGAATGTCAACAGCCATTCAGCCAAAAAGTGCACTGTAGGCATTATACTAGGATCGTATTTTAAGGCTTAATGTAAAAACACTGATATTGTATTAAATGGATGGTGCATTTCTAATTGATAATAATTATGACATAACCCTGGACAATTCACACAACGCCATCTAGATCCACGCTAAGCAGTGCTTGTTTTATGGGTATAAAATCTTTCACACACCTATTGTCTCTGTCGCACAATAAAATGTCAAGAATTTTGAAGTTTACTTACGCAATATATTTCTGAACGCACCCTGTTTGACAGTTTCTATGGGAAAAAGAAATTGTTGTTTTTACTATTCTCTAAGCAATATCTTCAAATTTTATTCCACGAATCTTTATGACTAAAATTAGCCAAATCGGTTCAGCCGTTCTCGAGTTTTAGCGAGACTAACGAATAGGAATTCATTTATATATATATATAGAAGATTCATTTTTATACATATAGATAATAATAACTCCGGACTCGTGGACAATTCACACATAGTTACAGCGCCATCTACTACCAAGTTAAGTAGAGCTTGTGTTATGGTTACTAGACATCTGAAGTAAATTCTTAAATACTGTTTTTTATCCATACGTAATACACATAACAATACAAACAATAAAACTAATACAAATGTTACCATCCAGCTACCAATGAAATGAGAACTCTATACTTTACAATATATTTTCTATTATCTTAAAAAAAAAGATGTCCCTAGTCTAGAAAAGTCTCCCCCTCCCCTGGGCCACAAGCTCCTAAACATCCAACATTCTTCAAACTCTAGATTCATTTGTATAAATTTAATTGAAAACAGATTATGTAAACTTGCCTTATCTATTCAAAACAGTGTCTGTGGTGGGACGATTAAAAATAATTTTAACCCGAGAAAGATTTCACGAATGTATTTAGAGGGTTCCGTGACATTTTTTTATTTAGAACACTTAATTACAACGCGGATATAAAATTAGGAACTGTTCACTGTTTAAATGAAACTTCAGAACTTTTCAGATCATTATTGTTGACTTGCTGTTACGAGTGACCTCGTCTTTAGCCGACCTATGGCGTTATACTATCTATCTTCGCATCAAATTTCATTAAAATATATTCAGTCGTGAAAAAGTACAAAAGTATAGTAGAGTAAAGGAGAGGAAAAGTAGGTAATAATAAACTCACTTTTATTTATAGTATACTACTACAGCTACTCGCTCCGGCTTCGCCCGGGTGTTCCTCTTGAATCACTGTATCTATTAAAAACCACTTCAAAATCCGTTGTGTAGTTTTAAAGATTTAAGCATACATAGGGACGGACAGACAGGGACAGCGACTTTGTTTACTGTGTAATGATGGTAAAGAGTGAATTAGGAGCAATAGCGTATCCAAAGTCAGTCAGTGTCTCGTTGATTTTTTTTTTAATTAAAAACTTAAAACATAAAATACTAATAAAAATAATAACCCTGCACAAGATCGAGCAAGATGCTCGTTCTTCTTGTGATGAGTCTGCGTTACAAATGAGTGGTAATAGTATTAAAATAATATATGACTATTCAAAACAGGTTATATTAAGCTTATTTGAATGAAGATTATTTCTATTTCTATTACAAATTATATTTACAAAATTAGCTGTGTTGGTACAATGCAATAGTAATCCGTACTAATATTATATTTGCGACAGTGTGTCGTCTGTCTATCAGGATACAATATACACAACTTTCTACCATAAAAATCAGACAAAATCGCTAGTAACAGCTTAGTAAGAAATTATTAGAAAAATAAAATACTGTCTTCTAAAAGTACTTTTTTACTTATTCAGACACAGTAAAGAACTAAAACTTTAAAAAGTATAAAATATACAGTTGTCTGCTTATATGTCGATATAATAGTAAGAGTTTTTTTTAATCTACAAAGTACGCGGTGGTCGTTGCCACCTCATTGGTCTAGTCTAATTCTTTGATCAATTCATCGTCAAAGCTCTGCAAATTAATAAACTGCGCTGCACCAGCATTCAATTGGAGAAATACTTGAGAAGAAATTAAATATTGCATCAGACATAGCTGTGTGTTCTAATCCCTTTGCTTACAATTCAGTTAATGGAATTTATATTTAAAACTTTTACATAAATAACCGACTGCAATCTTGATAAAGTTATTTATCACTAACTATTACTCGGGATGCCGTCTGCTTTATTATTTGAATTAGCAAATACTCCATAGTTCTCAAAAATGATAAGATAAGCACCTGAAAGTGCCAACTATTCATGGCGAAATAAAGCTGTACGACAAGAAATATACAGCCTGCTGCTGCTGAGTTTCACCACCGTACCACCCGCCAGAAACTAAAATACCATCCTGATCATCTGGATAAATGGCGGTCCTTCACAGTGCGGTTTTTTAGAAACTTTTTGCCACGCACAACCACATTGTAGAATCACCTTCCAACAATGGTATTCCCGAACCGATATGATATTGAAACCTTCAAGAAAAGAGCTTATTTCTTTTTAAAAGGCCGACAACGTACTTTCAATACCCCTGGTGTTGCGGGTGCTCATGGGCGGCGGTAATCACTTACCGTCAGGTGAGCCGCATGCTCGTTTGTCGCCTGAGTTATAAAAAAAAAGACCGACTCCATCATAATCCATTGGCAACACTGCTCTTGAAGCCTCCAACGGTCAAGACTAAAGAGGAGGAATACAGTACAGTAGTATTAGTAGTATAGTAGTAGTATCCACTCAACACATCAGCTTACAGTCTGATCGCCATTCACAAGGAAACAAAACTTATTTCATCGTTTTACAGAATATTTTTAATAATTTGCATATATCCTCGTAGTACAATTGTAGTCACGTCAAATTCACATCTACAACTCTTGAATGGTTCACAGGAAATCACAAACCAATTAATTTGAATCCGTTAGAATTGAAAATTGTTAGTCATACTGTTACATAATTATGACCTCGTTCGCCTATTTTAGAGACCCAAAAGTCAAATCCCAAAATTACGACGTCTTGTGCCGAGGTTCGAATCCCTGAAAGCAGTGTCCTTCGACTAAAGTCGTATCAGTCAGGCGGGAGTTGGCTTTCAGCCGCTCCATAAGTCGTTCTACAGGTTTGCAGTGCCATCTGCACTCGCCGCTATATCGTCCAGTAAAGCTGTAAAGACCAGCTGCGGCCAACAGCATTAGAATACTCAAAAAAAAACATTTTATATATAAAAATATAACCTAACCTACAAACAGCTAGACTTATTAGTATGAAGTAGTGTTGTTATGAAGAACAGCATTTATTACGGAACCCTGCTGCTCTATCTCATCCACAAACCAACAAGTAAGTATTAAAAACCTCAGAGACAATGGAAATTCAACGCGCGGAAGTCTGTTGCGACTCCGCTGCAATGAGTAACACAATGCATTCATTATTCCATTATTTAATGAGCTCAACCCACTTAGGCACTCATCCCTAAAGTTTTAATATTGTGCTTTTTCAATTAGGCATAGTGCTCTTACAAACTGCCTTTTTTTTTACTTAGTATAGTCACAGATAACATAATATTACATAGTATAGTAAAAAGGGAAGGAAATATTATATACAGGAAATTTAAAATTACAGAAAAAATTGTCACCAATAATGATTTTTTTACTGTGATTTTAAATTATAACGATAAAAATTCTGCATATATATTTGTATGTGTATTGTCAATTAAATCGTTAATTTATAGTTGCACCGCCAAGAATTATTATCTACACCATATATGGCTGACTGGTAGATAATGCCGCATGGTGTTAAGTCCGCGATATAACCAATATTAACCAAGTATTACAATATATATCATGGATGAGAAGGAGGACATTATATTATATATAGGATATTATCATCCTCCACTGATACTCTGCTGGCGTCTACCATTAAAATAAGCAGCTGCTATATTGTTTTAATGGAAGACGCTAGCGAAGTACCAATGGAGGTTGTATTACTGACTGAGTAGTCAATAATATAAAGATATGGGGGACAGTGATTTGTATCTTTCGTCTTTCTTGAACCATAATGTAACTAGAACTTTGAATTTGAATAAAATATACCTACATAGTAGTACACGGGCTCTTTATAAATCATTAATTTCACGGTATCCATTCGGTATCCACGGTCATCCTTGGTTATCTTCTGTCTCGCTCTGTCTGTTTATAACGACAAGCTCCAGTCAATATTGACTTTATTTTCGTGCCCAAAATGCAATGGAGTATATAATTTTGATTTTATTTATCTAACTAAAAGAAAATAAAGAAATCAGTTCGCTTAAATAAGTACCTACCAATATATGTGAATAACTTCAAGCTTGGCATATGTATCATAAATGTTTTTAATTACTAGGAATTTACTATTTCTATAACTATTTAATTTTTACCGTGTTAATCAATTGAAAATTATTTTTTATATTATAATTGTTCTAAGTTACCGTTCTTAGGTTCTCAAATCCACTTTGCTTCAATCAAAATCAAATAAACGTCAAACTGTCTGTCAACTGACTGTCATCGTCAGACTCGTATTCGTGTCAGATCTCTATTCCAAGTTTTGGCGCTATTTTACTATTTATAATCTAATATGTTTTGTTCAATTAATACAATTTTCCCGCAACGCAGTTGAAATTTTATATTATTACATGTCATTTCAAAATCACATACTTTCTAATTAAATTTTCCATGCCACCTTTATTAACCTCCGACAAAATGCCGAATATGAAAACGATAGCTAATACTGCTCGTGTAATATCGAAAAGACCATTTAAAGTTTCAATTGAAGGCAATATAGGGTCAGGAAAATCAACGTGTATTAATTTCTTTAATAAATTTCACAACGTAGAAAAACATTCGGTAAGTTTTATTGCACATTATCTTTAAATTTGCGATTAACAATAATTTCTAAGTACGTATATTTATTACAGAATATTGCGACATCATGGTTAAACAGTATAGTCTACGTCCAACTAAAATAATATTTTTACGTTTCATACATACAACGTAAAAATTCTATTCCCGCGATTAATCTCAAAAAACTTATATTTTTTTATTTTATATCACATATGTTTTTCAGGAGCCCCTTCATGAATGGCGCAATGTTAACGGTCACAACCTACTTGGTATGGTGTACAGCGATATTCACAAGTGGACATATCCATTCCAGCATTATGTACATTTGTCTCGATTAAAAATACAGATGAGCCCTCCGTCGACTCCTGATATTACTGTTAAAATGTTTGAAAGGTGAGATATAATACTTATTGAACTTCTCAGGCCCTTATACGCAGAGAAAAAATACTGTTTCAAGCAACTTATGAAAGTCTAAAGATTGAGGGTATAGCCAAAATTTTGTATTGATTGTTATATGCATAATTCTTATTAATGTGTATTTACTTAGAATATTTAATTAAACGAGCTACATGCAAGTTTCTTGCTCATTCTTGTAATGAATCTGATTTCTGAATGAGTGGTGGACTAAAAAAAACTATTCTAAAGTAAGTCAGCTTATATAAAGTTTATTTGAATTAAGATTTTTATTTGTAAACTTGTTTATGTTATATTTACAGATCGGTACAGAACAGCAGGTACTGCTTTGTAGAGAATGCAAGAAGGCACAAATTCTTAGAGGAACCCCAGTTTCATGTTCTTAACAGTTGGTATGAATTTGTGGAGAAGAACTTAGACATTAATTTAGATCTCATAGGTACAGTAACAGTATCCATAATACATAAGTTTGCTTATAAAATTATTGGTTCTTACTGATATGTAAAAAAATTATATGTGATATTCAAAACATATATAAACATGTTCTGTCTATATCAGTTATATATTGATATCACATAAATTTTTTTTATATCTTAGAAATAAAGGGCTTTGGGAATTCTCACGGAAAATAAACAGTGCTACATTATTATTATATTCTAATACTGTTGGATGCATCTGGCCTTTACAACTGCACCAAACAATAGGGGCCAAATGCAGATGGCTCTCCAAACCTGCGGAAGAACTTATGGAGCGGCTGAAGGTCAACTTTTCTCTGACACTTCTTTTCATGACTAGTAGTACTGCTCTTAATTTTAACCCTGTTTGAATTGGACAGGGGATGGATTGGAAGGAACATGTGGGCATATATTGGATAAAAATTGGTGTAATTAGATAATAAAAATGAAGCCCTCTTATTTACAGATCATCATTTTTTTATGGTATTTGGCATATTTTTCTGGTTCCCAATTGAAACTGCTTCATAACTAGAGAAAAAGTAAAGAAAAAATAGTGTGTTGTATATTATAGTTTTAACCTAATCTGTATGTAAATGAATGTATAAACTGAAAGACAACTAAAACCATACGCTATAACTAGATTTTGATGTGGTTACACCTGGAAACCATTGTGATACATTACTGGTGAATTTACCACAATAGACTAGCTGTCCTGTCCTCATCATATTATCCTCCCTGATACCCTGCCAGCATATACTGTTAGGGCAGGTAAGTGCTCCATTCCATTATCATCCATTAAGGAAAACTGGAACTAGTCACCTTCTGTTTGAAATACTAAAGTCACACTGCTAGAAATACACTTGCTACTTTTGAAATACTAAAGTTTCAGTTATGTTAAATACCAAACTACTTTAGAGTAATTTTATTGTCTTTAAATTTTCAGTATATTTGAAAACTTCGCCGCAAGTCGTTTGGGAGCGTATGCTGAAACGCGGCCGAGCGGAGGAGTCTGAAGTACCTTTAGAATACTTACAACAGGTTTGTAGTTTCAGATAATGAAATAATTGTCTGGAAATATGAGTAATGACTCATTTGGTATTCACTCTGTACTATGTACTATTTGGGTTTATTCATCTTTACAATAAGTTTGTGTCTTGGTGGTCTAGTGGTTTAGTACACCACATTGGAAGGAATTGAACCAGCCACCATTGGGGTCGATGGGATTCGATTTTTTTCATGGTACTAATATTTATATTCATGAGTATGATTGTTTGTATTGGCCAGTTATGTTTTCTGTATCAAAAAATCAGACTATATCAGTTATCTAGTACCTATAACACCAAGCTCTGCTTAGCTTGGGACTAAATAGTGCTGTATAATTTATAATATATCAATATTTAATCAATACTTTGTAAATATTGACATCTAATGATTCCCCTCTTTATCATTTAAATTACAGTGGCATGTGGCATTCAGAAATCACTAATTCATATGTCGTGAATATAAAAGCAAGTTGAGATTTAGTCCGCCGTATGCTCCTTTATAGGCTCAGCAGTGGACGTCTTCCGGGCTGCGATGATGATGATGATGATGATGCTCCTTCTCCTTTATTTTTTTATTTGTGCATTAAAGCTTTAATAACTACATATTATATTTTTATATTTAATAAATTATCTTTCATATGTATGTTAGTCTGAAATGTATTTATAATATGGACCAGACCTCTGCCTGAATTAAATAAATAAGAGCAATTTAAAATTTATCATAAACCTATTTCATTAACAGGTCCACGAGTCCTACGAAAATTGGATTAATTCACCTGATATTGGATGCGAAGTGCTAACGATAGACGCAGACAGAAACTTAGATCTTGTGAAAGAAGATTTAGAAAGGTATACATATAAAATACTTGGTGGCAACCACACCAATTAACTAGAGGCTAATTCTCAATATATTTTTGTGTATAACAAAAATAAACATTTGGGGATGACCTAAATCCTATATCCTACCTAAACATAAAAATATTGATTGTCTAATGAAATATCTGAATGAATATTTTAGCTATTATTTTGTACTTTTCTTCGAGTTATTCACTTCCTATGAAAAGTACAATAGAATTTTCAAGAGGTATATTTTTATAGTAGATTCTCAATAAAATTAGGAAATATTCTTCAGATCTCTGCATATATCTAAACATTCAATATAATTAAGATATATTATTCAGATCTGTACCTCACATCTAGAGATCTATGTTGCTTTTTAACTGTTTTAGAATCATGTTATATATTGTATTATGAAAGAGATCTCACATTTATTGATACTGTTTCAGTTCTATAGATGTCTTTATAATGTTAGCAATATCGGGCTATACTAATCACCCAATACTGGTCTAGTTTTCAGATACATGTAAGAATTATGTTATAAATATTGTTTTAACACTATACATGCATTAATGTGATTCTGGCAATCGGCACGATGTTCACATATAAAGTTTGTAAATAAGAATCTACCTCTTAGATTATTATTGTTGTGTATTATGTAACATGTTATAGACTTGGAAAATAATGACTACCAGATTATACATCTGTGTGAACAAGCTAAAAGACGAAGAAATCCCATTAAGTGGGCTAATCTTATTAATATCGACATTAAAATGTATTAAAACTCTGAATATAATGAGATGATTTATTTATTAATAAAACATTGTTTTATTTTATTTCTAGTTTTAAGACTTATTTTGAAGAAATTAAAATTGAACAAACCTAACTCTTCCACCAATATATTATTAAACTGTTTCTAATCTATATGAAGCCGTATTCCCCCCAAAATAGGTCTTAAAATAACATTAAACTAATGAAATAAATATTCTTTTAACGGTACAAATGATCTGCTCTAATGTTAGATGCTATTTCACTTTCCCATTTATCTCCATTTGATAATAATTTTTCCTTATTATAAAGCAGTTCTTCGTGGGTTTCTGTAGAGAATTCAAAATTGGGACCCTCTACAATAGCGTCCACTGGGCAAGCCTCCTGAAAATAATAATATGCACATATTTGTATTTTTATCTAAAGAACAAAAATATACAGAGTATGATATCAATTTAAAAAATTATCGTACAAGACCCGTTGATATAACTTCTACATGCAATATTTATTGATACAGACACTGAATCTCGACAGTCACATGTATTTCTATTATTTTGTTATTCGCTACCTTTAGCATAAGCGACACCACCAATTTTAATTGCGGAAACCTGACAACCGCTACTGGAAGCATATGACCTTAATAATATAATAATATCTCAGCACAATTCACAAAGCGCCATCTAGTCCCAAGATAAAGAGTTTGGGTTATGGGTACTAGACATCTGATATAAATACATAGATACATTTTTTTTTATACTCATGAATACAAATGCTTGTACCGTGCGAGGAATCGAACCCACAACCATCAGAAGTAAGGCGGTGTACTAAACCGCTAGACCACCGAAGCCGTCAAATCCACTGACTCTACACGATGTACTATAGACGTAAAATTTAATGCTCATTTCAAATGTACATTCTATCAAGTATATGCAGAAAGTATGCATGTGGTGTCACCATAAGCATAGCATCACTCTATCTCTTCTCGTGGGCGTCGTAGAAGGCGACTAAAGTATTCATCGTCCAGAGGACAGACAGCAGTATTTTACCATCACACTGTGATCGCCTACCCGCATGCCAAGTGTGTCGTTTATGACAATATCGCCCAAATGGATTCACACCCAAGGCCCTAGCCCCCAGTCCCCTGCGGACCAGCTAGTCTTGACCCTAGTAACGGTCAGGGAAACAGTGGTCAGGTGTGAAAAATCCCCAAATACGACCAAGCTACAAACGACGACCACTGGATTTGACATTCATTGCATTGTAATAAGTGTTGAAAAAAACAAATGTAAGTTCTTACCTGACAGAATCCGCAGTAGATGCATTTTGTCATATCAATATCGTACCGGGTGGTTCGTCGTGAGCCATCCTTGCGTTCTTCTGCTTCTATTGTTATGGCCTGTAATAAAATACAACTAATTAACCACAAAGTTATGTATATATACCTATAATAATTGTTGTGTATGCAAGTGACAAGTGATACGAGTGAAACCAAAGACTGCTATAAGCACACTGTTTATTAATTGCAAGCGGCCATAAGGTGTAGTGGTGCAACCGCTGTACCATACATCTATCTATATATAACAGTAATATTACCTAAAAACCAAAATCCCTCTCAGTAAACAGTAATAGATAGCAAAAATTTACGGCCTAGATTGTCTAGCGGTTTAGCAAACTTCTTTACTTATCAAAAGCAGATAAGTTCAGTATTAGGCAGGAAAAACCTTATAATATACCTAATAACATTAATTAAAAAAAAAATCTGTTCTAATTCAATGAAATGGCTGGAATGATTTTAACAGGACTTTCACTCATAGATAACTAATGTTATCAGGGGCTACTTTTATATCAGAAATTTTATTTATTTTACATAAAAATAAAGTTACATTCCATGTTTAGACCTCGCAAGTAATAACTAGTAAGAAATATATATGCCATGTAGTAAAGTTTTCCCAAATTAAAAATCAGGCCATTTTCTATGAATTGTTTGATATTTGTACTGTTTGTGTTTCTAATTATTGAATCTCAGACACATACACTTACTACTTACTACTACACTCACTCGCCGTTTACAATGTAATGGCCACATGACGCCAGCAGTATGCGCTGGAGAAGACCTAATACTTCCTTCTCTATCCCACACTATTGTCAATATAATAAAAACAGATGGTAATTACCTGAGCAGGGCATATGGCTTCACACAGTTTGCAAGCAATGCACCGTTCTTCACCAGATGGGTAACGACGCAATGCATGTTCTCCTCGAAATCTTGGTGACAAGGGGCCTTTTTCAAAAGGATAATTAATGGTTGCTGGTTCCTAAAATGGATATAAATATTTATACTATATACTTACACTAGTGGTTAGTTAGTATAGTGGTCAAAATTTCACCATAATTACTGCATTTTCTCGTAAGTATCATACTAAATACATATCTGTGTTAATGTAGGACATGTACTATGAGTTCTTTTTAGGTAATTGAAATGGCAAACAAGCTGACAGTCCACCTGATGATAAATTATCACTATTCTCTATACATATAAATAAAATTGGAATATCTGTTTGTAATATTGAAATAACCGTTTTTTTTTTTGTTAGCAGCACTCTGTTCTTATACAATACATACATGTATAAATAGCTGCACCTGCAACTTCGTCCGCAAGAAAATTAACTTATTTTTCTAAAATAAAAGTAGCCTAAATTACTGCTTATTACATCAGCTATGTACCTGCCAATTAATGTCCCGTCAAAATCGGTCCGGCCATTTCAGACATTAGCCGGAACAAACAAAAAAATTGTAAAAAATGTTATTTTGGTGTATGTACCATATTTATGTATATATGTAGTAAAAAATAGATATTTCAATATTACAAACAGACACTCCAATTTTATTTATATGTATAGATTTACGAATATTATAGTACAGAAAAGGTAATTCATTTAAATATTTGTTGCTAGTATATATTTATATGATAACAACTATTAAGAAGTGTAGACAGAGTCAATATCAATTGTGGAAAAGTTATCACAATAATTGACATGCCCACATATCACTAAGTATATTTGAATCTAAGGAGCCCCTTAGACCTACACCCGAGTCACAAAGTCCCTGGAAAAGGTCAGAGTTCCCCACTCTGCCACAGAATTGACCAGGCAACTGCATTGTTAATGGAATGCTAAGAAGTTCCATTTCTACCAAATGACATATCTATAATATAAATATGAAATAGATAAATACCTTAAAAACATGAGCCAAAGTAACAGCAAAGCCTCTAGCAAGCTCTGTCCAGAACATAGTTTGAGCTGCCCTATCTGACATTTCTCTGAAAGTCTCCGATGGATTTTCGGCATTTACATATTTATAGCCTGGGATATTTGGCGGGTATACTTTTTCAACTTTGCCTTCTTGCGATGAGCTGGCATGTCGTATTAGCATACCACTGGCACCAGATGTGCGGACTGAAATTAAATTTATTATATTACAAAGTTATATATATACATAATATATATTATTACAGGTAACATTACAAGAATTCACATAGGTAATGGGGGCGCAATACAACTATTATCTGAATTATACATTACTTGTACATCTATTCTTGTATTTATATGTTGATGATGTGCCGATCGAACACTATCAAAATAGAAGCTACAATAGTCACAAATCATCTGAAATTTGTATAAAACGAAACTAATACTATGTAAAAGGTAAAGTAATAATTAATTTTTGTATATATAACATAACAAATATATCAAGTCAGCTGGTAAATACGCAGTATAGGTTACAAACAACAGTTGCGTAATAGGACGAGCCGATTTCAAGGAATATTAAATAAAAAATATACTTGTAATAATTTAAAAGACTACATTACCTCGTGTTGACACTGAAAATATTTTAGCTAAGGACATTTTAGTTTATATTTTGGAATTCTACAAAATAATCGACCGAATTTGACTGATACTTCAGTCGAAATTCATTTTGAAACGTCAATTCACTGATAAAATGTACCATACGTCATTTTGCAGTTTCGGACTGCCAATGCACAGACTGATTCAAAGATAAAATAAAATAAATAATATTCTACGACATATTATTTAGTTCACGCAGATATGCCAAATTATTAGAGCATTAAAAATAATTATATCATTAAAATAAATCAATTAATAAAACTAATTTATTTTTCAACATTTCTACGATTAATCGTTACTGCTCTGACATTATTTGTAGTCTGTGCTGCCAGCTAAACAATAAATGTCAAAACGTCAAATCTTAATTCGTCATACGTCAGTATTGACTGACGGAAGTTCTGCAAACTACAAAACCACAAAACATTCAAGTGACGTTTACAGATTTTCATTTCATGTTGATTTGATTTTTTAATTATTAATTTTAAGATAAAATTTCATTCGCACTATGGGTGATTCACCAGCTTCTGAAGCAGAATCTGGTAAACCCAGTCCTAACGATGAGAATCACCTAGATACGGTAAAACAGGTTTTATTTAATGGTTTACATAATATTACTCTGCAGTGCTAATTCATGGCTTGTCAATAGGACCGGCGTCCTTTTGGTGGTCTCGAATTCCAAGTTTCTGAAGTAGTGGGACGGCTAGAAGCCGGAGTCAACGCCCAGGATGTCACGGAAGAGGAAAAGAAACGGGAATCGCGGAAAATCAGCACCGGCTTCTTTGAACCTGACGAGACTTCTATGGATGAAATATTAAAGGATTTAGAAGATTTAGTATTGAAAACAGACCCTAACTGTGAGAATATAGAGCCGCCGTTGCTGCCCACGGATGCGGTGACTCGTGCGGCCATACTGTCGCATAGTATCTCTGCTTTATTTGGTCGCCTGGAAAGGTCTCATGCAGCGCGATTCGGAGCTACAATTTCATGTGAAACAACGCGATGGATGTCTCATATGTTCAGGTAAAAATATGTTTTATTGATACTATAACGAAAGGTATAAAATTGAATATAATAATTGTATTATTTATGGCTGTTTGTTATCAGTTACCTTGAATCCTAATTAACTGGATAAGATTAGTAGTTTATAACACCTAACAAGTTAAATACTGTTTCATACTGACATGAAATCCAATCTACTAAATGCCTATTCCAATAATTAATTTATTATTATTATTATTATATCTTTATTCTGTCACATAACACATATTTCTAACATTATATGTTATGTGTTATTATATTTTTAGTTTATTTATTATTCTTTTTATGTGACCATAATTAATTTATAGCCATGCATTATTGGAAAATTTCAGAAATTACATGTCTGGAAGTGGTACTTCATTTCTATTTATCTTTTAAGTTTGTAAGTTTGTATTGATTTGCACAGATCTAAACATAAAGTACCTAATATAAAAAAAACAGTCATTGTAACAAATAGAAATAGGAATTATTTGTACTCAAACAGACCCAATACAGGCACACCTGTACAGTCACAACATTTTACTCATCCCAAGAAGAATGTATAGTAGTACAACAAGTAACCTGAACATATTCTGATCAGCATCATATATGTATGTTCTTGTGTGAGCAATAACTTCCAAATAGTATGATTGACAAAATTAACATTTTAATAATCAGAAAGGCGATTGTTAATAATGTGGCCTGATGACCCCATTGCTAGCAATGTACCATATCAGGTTGACCTCCATGCTGTTCCCCCTGGAAACAGGTCACTTAAACCATCATGACAAATTCACCAAGAATTTATCACGACGGGCTAACTGACTTGACCTCATCATTCTCCACTGGTGCCCTGCTAGCATAAACCGTTAGCACCATTCCATTTTCATCCATAAAAAACCTTTGTTGTTTTTTTAACACAAAATAACTGTTGCCTCCTTTAATACAGATATAATAATTATGAATATCTGTCATTTGTTTCCAAGATTCCTGAAATACTACTGACATAACTTTTACCACATCTGTTCATAGTATTCAAGTGATTGCAGTATAGACACAGATAAAAAGCAAGTTTCCTGAAATGTGTTTACTAATAGTTGGATGTTTAAAATGTCATACAAAGAAATAATATTTAGGTCCAATCAAGATTTTATTATTCATGTGCTTTGTCTAATTTAGGTATTTCTGTAGGAAGTTGGAACACAATAATAAATTATTTTTTCTTTAAAATTACATCCAGGAAGTATTGGTGACCAGTGATATAGCTAACTCTTTATAAACATTGAAGCAAATTAAACATGCATTACACACTATTTAAGTTTAAAGTTTAAGTATTATAATGTTTTATTAAGTACAATTTTCAATTAAGACAAAAAAATACACATATTTCATTATAATTTAAAACTACCTTTTTGTGGCGTGTGTGGTTTAGAAGTTTAGGATCTTGCTTCCAATAGTTTGATGTCGCATAATGAAATCTATTGTATTCAAGATTGATGAATTGTGAACAAAATTAATTGGTGTTGATTATTTTGAGTTGCAACATAATCAACAACAATGAATGAACAAATCATTATAAACGGTAAATATAATGTGGGAAATTCCCCTGTTATATGGGGTATTAATAATAATAATAGTAATAAGAGTACTGTATTATAGGGATCCCCCAATAATGTAATTCTATTCAAAATTAATATACTACTAATATTTGTGACTAGGGATGCTTTGTTACTCACTTACAAAAAGTACCTTGCATTTAAAAGGAATATCTACTCATTAACCAAGGTAGAATTAGAACAGTACTTTATAGCCTATGTGGTATTCTGATGTATAAGCTATATTATTGTAAAGTTTAATCAAAATCAATTTAGTAGTTTTTGTGTTCAAGAGCAACAAACTTCCTCCTTTATAATATTAATTAACTGACCCACGCAACTTTGTCTGCACTTGATGTTTAACATTATATTTTGCACAAATTTCATAATAACCATTTAAATTACATTTAAATTATAGCCTATGTGTTATTCTGATGTATAAATTATATTACTGTAAAGTTTAATCAAAATCTGTTTAGTAGTTACCTATTATGTGAAAGAGTAACAGACATCCATACTCACAAACTTTCACGTTTATAATATTAGCAAGATAGGATTGTTTAGGTTTTTGTAGAGCTATAAAATTTTCGTTTCATTACAGATTGAAAGATTACAATGCATATTACCATCAAGATCATCTGGAAGGCCTGGTTCGGGTCACCAGGATGCTGCTGCATCACAAATATCCTCGGTACTTAGAAGATGGCGGTATGTTTCTTTCTACTCTATAATTTTATTTATTTAATTAAGGCCACTAATTGCCCATATTATACATACCTTACAGACTAACATACATTTGAATGATATTGTAATTATCTTTATATATAAAAATTATATGTCATGTTGTTTATCTGCGATGGACTCCTAAACTACTGAATTTGCAAATTTGATTTGCACATTATGTGTAATTTAATCCAACTTGAAAGATAGGTTAGCAGCCCAAATGGACATACCATCCAAATTACATTGTTTATATATGTGGTATTCACATAAATGAATGCTTACTTACCATATGGGGGACTGTCAGCTTGTTTGTCATTCTGTTTCATAACAAAAATGTCTATATAATGCTATATTTAAAAGAGCAACATGCTTGTTTAATATAGCATTATATGCAGTTTCTTTGCTCGTTCTAGAAATGAGACAACTTTCTGAATGAGTGGTAGAAGAAAAAAAGTAAAAAGTTCAAAAGTGCTAAAAATTAAGTTTATTTTGAATAAAGAATTTTCTATTCTATTCTATTTCAGCTCTAGCCTTCACAAACCGCCTACCCTGCATATACAGCTGCGTTGCAAGCCCGTTAGGTATCGTCCAGCATCTGTGTCGGCAGCTAAGCCTACCCCTGGCCTGTATTAGACCTGTACCAGTGAATTCATCAGGTATTTATTTATTTTCCATCTGTGACCAGCACAATGATGAGCATCGATAAATTCTTGGTGAATTTGTCACGATAGGCTGATTGACCTGACTTCGTGCTCATCAACTGGTCCCCGCTAGCGTAAACCGTTAGCGCAGGCTGATAATTCACACAGCATCATCTAGTTCCAAACTAAGCTAAGCTTGTGTACGGATACTAGACAACTGGTAAAAATACTTAAGATTTTTTTTTTTTCTAAATACATGCATAACATAAATAGATAACAGCCAGACCAATGAAAATAATCATACTCGTGACTACATGATATTTGCATTGTGCGTGGAATTGAACCCTCTACTTAACTGCTAATCTACGAAGACCGTCAATATACTTTTTCAGTTCTATATACAGGTACTAAATTCACAGGTACATTGCTCCTAATAAATATGTTAAAGTAGTTGATTTATCTTCCATCTCTCCTCCATTGGACTGTCATTATATCATATTTTTTATAGGAAATATATACATATAGAGAAATTTATGAATGATAATTAATTAAAAAAATAATATTCTATATAAAAATAGAAACCAATAGTGTCATTGTCTCTGCCTATCCTATAAGGGATATGGTATAAATATAGTAACATTCCAGGCAAACTGCAAAGTAATCTCTCCATAAATTTTTTTTTTGTAAACATTGTCATACGTTGAATTGCGCAAACGCATTCTGTTGTCCTTACGTCCGGTAATGTTTTGAAATAAACATCAGACGAGGTTTAAGAGTTATGTATAATAGTAAAGCCTTTTCTCCAAGGTTAGAGTACAATCTGTAGTTTATGCTACGTTTACATTCAGCCGCTGCCACTTCCCCTGCCACTCGTGCTGCCGGAAATATTGCCGGGCGACAACTGAGCGAGAGGGCTGAATGTAAAAACACGCTGCCAGTCCTTTGACTCGCGCACGAAAAACCGACAATCGAGGGAGCGCCGGGCAGCGCGAGTGGCAGCGCCAATGGCATAGGAAGTGTTTCCACTCGTGATTACACTCTCGCGCTGCTCACTTCCGTACTGACTTCCCTGCCCACTCGGGCTGAGTGTAAATTGGGCTTTACAAAATGTTCCGCAACTCAAACCAAATCAAAAATAATTTATTCATGTAGGACATTTTAGCCGCTTATGAACGTCAAATTTTTTCTATTAATATTTTTTCCGTACTCCAAATGTATAAAGATTAATTAATTTTGATTTATCTTACTAATATTATAAACGCGAAAGTTTGTGAGTATATATGTGTATGTTTGTTACTTTTCACGCAAAAACTACTAAATGCATTTTGATGAAACTTAACAGCAATATAGCTGTATATCAGAATAACATATAGACTGTAATTTATAAAGATATTATGCAAATTGGCGATATATAATGATGAGCGAGTGTGTCGCAGACGAAGATGCATTGGTCAGCTAGTTCCATAAAAACCATCCATAAAAAAACTTGCAGGTAAAGGCATGGATATAGAAGCATTAGATAGACTATGTGAAGAGGATGTGGCAGCTAATAGAATCCCCCTGCTGGTGCTGGGGGAGGTCGGTGCCCCCCCTCTGGGTTGGAGTACACCACTAGTCACCCTGAGCGCTGTGTGCAAGACTAGAAATATATATTTACACGTACAGGGCCACGCGTTGGCTCTTGGAGCGGTTTCTGGTAGAGATCAGGTCAGTATAATAAATGAAACTTATGAAAACACGTTTGCAGAATATTCATCTATAATAATAATAATCTCAGGACAATTTACATAGCGCCATCTAGACCCAAGTTAAGCTAGCTAATGCTTGTGTTATGGGTACTAGACAACTGATACATCTACTCATGAATACAAATGTTTGTGCTGTGCAAGGAATCGAACCCGCGACCATAGGTCGTAAAGCGGTGTGCTAGACCGCTAGACCACCGAGGTCGTCAAAATCTATACATCTACACATATAAATAAAATAGGAGTGTCTGTTTGTAATATTGAAATAACCGTTTTTTACTACATGTATATGAATATAAATACGGTATATACACCAAAGTAACATTTTTTTAAATTGTTGTCTGTCTGTCTGTTTGTTCCGGCTAATCTTTGAAATTGCTGGACCTATTTTGACGTGGCTTTTATTGACAGATAGCTGATGTAATAAGGAGTAACTTAGGCTATTTTTATTGTAGTAAATAAAGTTAAATTCCATGCGGACGAAGTAGTAGTTCTTTCATAACGTAAGAGCTACGATCTTGTCGGTGGAACTCTTGCCATTTCCGCGATCTTGCATTATTCTCTTTAAATGTTGACACGACACGACTAATTGTACATATTTTCTTAGATTAAGTAAATAATTTTTGAAAACATGATTAAGTTATTAATAACATTAGTAACTGTAACTTTAAAAGTAATAGCGTAGTTTTATAAAGGTATCAAAATGACATTACGGGTCTATTGCAGACTCTTATGATATGTCAAATCTACTCTACTCGCAGATCTATAACAGTTGTTAATCATCTGGCTGTCCTTTTGTGGACTCCCGCGACACAGGTTCGCCTAGTGCGGGGTCCAAAGTACAATAAACTTTATAATATTTGTATATTTTAAAATAAATATTTAATCGTGTTTTTTTATACAAATAAACAAACACACATTTAATTGTTACGCTTATGAGCATATTCTATCAAATGAGAGTTATATAGAAAGTAATATTTTGTTTCAGAGTATTACTTTACCGGATTCAGTGACATTAACGCCAGGACAGTGGTTCGGAGTGCCGGGACTACCAACTGTCGTATCCTTTATATAAAAAAAATACTTCTCAGCAAGCATATTGCTATTACTTAGAGGTCAAAATTGCATGGCATTACAATTAAAAAGGTTAAAACTGCACTTGTGTGTGTGTTTTGGATGTGCTGTGTATGATTTATAATTATGTAAAATCTTGTAACTCCATAATATTGTTGTTGCTGGCAGCTTGTCCACAATTCTTTTTCTAAATATTGTGATATCTAATTTTTATGTCACTTGATTTTCTTCGCTACATACATAAAATTATTCTGATTTTTAACAAAATAATCGTTGTTTCCGCTCCAGTCACAACTGCTTAATCCTCGCGACCGAAATATAGCTTACAAAGCTAGCAACTCGGCGACTGAAATATGTGAGACCGAGGTACCCACTAATCAGAAAATGTAATTTCTTTAACTATATGCACACAGACATTTTATAGAATTCCAGAACAGATCACAGCCAATGACCATTCCAAAGGCGTCAGTGCGGTAAGTATTGTTTATGTAATAGCTAAAATGGAATATCCGTTATTCAAATAAACGTAATTTAAGCACTTTCGAATAACCATAACAATTTTTTTTAATCTACCGCACTTTCGCATCGCGAAAGCGCATCATAAGAAGAAGGAGCAAGAAACTTGTGTGTGAAAGGAATGTGCATGTAAATGTACACAAAAAGAATAAGAAAGACTGCGTGTGGCGCCATCTTGCGTATTTCCACGTCCTTCAATCGTGCACACTTTAGCGTTTTGTTTAAATCATTAATTATATTTAGACTGGCACACATTTGATTATAGAGCATAAAGACATATTTATGAAGTTATTGATAATTTATATACCTTATACGTGTTTATGGAAAATAAAAAATGTGGATCACAAAATAAAATGCCATGAGACATACGCGCTACCACGCGCAAAAGAGTGAACGAAAAAAGTATTTACTAACGATAGCGCGCGCTCCTGATTTAATTAGTTGTATGTTTAATGAAATATGACACAATACGAAAGTCATTTGTTTTGTAAAAAAATACACTAAAACGTCTTTAATTTAGTAAATATACTCGTCAATTAAAAAATAAGAACATATTTTATAATACAACTTCAGATTTATTAATACTTTATTAATTTAATGTTAATGCGCTTTATATAAACGCCCACGTATTATTTCTGAGTCTAACTCGCTAAACGGAAAAAAGAAATTAATATTGATTGATTTATGGAATTATTACTGAAATTGTAACATTGTATTGTCTAAGCCTATATAATTTAAACAAATTTAGAATAGAATAGAAATCATTTATTCAAATAAACTTAATTTAAGCACTTTTGAATAGTCATAACAATTTGTTTTTTTTATCTACCACTCGTATGGAAAGCTATCTCATCACAAGAACAAGAAACTTGTGTGTTGCTCTTTTAAATAATCCTTATAAGTTTACATTTACAAGTCGAAACGTGTGAATACAAACTACCAACCAGCACTAATTTTTTGGGTCAAATATAAATATACAATAAGATTAAATCAGTCGTAGTGATAAGAAGTAAGTTTGTTTAAATTTTTATGTGTACAAAAATTTGTTCGCCGGAAAGACGTCATAAATAAAGTATTATTAAAAAAAATCTTCGTGATAAAAATGGACTTTAGAGTTTATGGTATGGGTTGCAGCCGAGTAGCCGCGAGGGAGCGCTGGCAGCGCTGGCGGGGCTGGCGGGCGGCGGGCTGCGGCTGGCGGCGCTGCCGCTGTGGACGTGCGTGCGGGCGGCCGGCACCCCGCGGCTGGCGCGACGCCTGGCGGCCGCCTTCCGCGCCGCCCGCGCCGCGCACGACGTCATCGCCGCCGCAGACCTCCGCCTGCTGGTACGTGCTGTCTTAAGATGGTTGAGATTTGGTAGTGAAATTATCGTGCAATGCGTGAAGGTACTGCACCGGATGGCGGCGGCCACCCGCGCCGCGCACGACGTCATCGCCGCCCCAGACCTCCGCCTGCTGGTACGTTGAGTGGTGGTTGAGATTAGGTAATGAAATTATCGGGCAAATTCATAGTAGTGATGGTTTTTAACTCTTATGTGGCTACATAAGAGTGTGGATGACCGATGAAGAGATATAAAATATATATTTTTTATTTATAATTTAACTTTCAGTTAATACTAAAAAGTAACTATTAAAATACATTTAACAGTCGTTTTGTTTTCCATGATTAAATTATTAAGTAAGTAGCTAAGTATTAAAATAGTTATTGTATTTATTTACAGAGTGAATGGCCCGGCGGCGATGAAGCACCTAACGTCAATATAGTTGTAAGTATGTGATTAGGTAAAGCTTTATATAATTACATACATTTATACATATATAATACTATGTATGTAATTACAAAAAACATCTATGTATTTATATCAGTTGTTTAGTACCCATAACACAAGCTCTGTTTTGATTGGGACTAGATGGCGCTGTGTGAATTGTAAATAAATACAAAATAATCTGACGGAAAGCAGTACATTGGCTCCTGGTCACACTTTTTGATTGTTACTGATTTTATTACTTCTCTTATATATATATAGTGTGAGGAACCCACGTGTTCATATAGTTAAAGCAATTTCCATAACCATAAGTTGTTGTACGGTTTTCTTTACACAACGCAATGTTCCCATGTTAAGTGTTGCGTTCACCGCATCCTCGAGAATGTCTGTCTATCCTATATGTAATAATAGTTGTGAATATATTTAAAATAATAATTTTACTTTCAGGAAGCAATAAGTAAAGCGTCCGCCTGCGTAGCGTTCCAGTTCGCCCCGCCCGGCGTTGAAAAACCACCCCCGTATTACGACAAACTCAACTCGTGGTTAGGACAAGTACTGCAAAGGGAACCGGATATGGTAATTATTGAATGAAAATGAATGAAAAACACTTTATTGTTCCTCTCACAGAAAGAGTAATTACATAAATTAATATGTACATTAAATAAGAAAATAATAACAAAATAATTATAATATAGAGGTAACAATGGGCGGCCTTATCGCTAAATAGCGATTTCTTCCAGGCAACCTTAGGATGGAGAGGAGTGTGATTATTATAATTTCGTTTCATTATTAATTGATTCTTATTGGTATAAATTTTATTTTAAAATGACCAAAAATCTAAATAAAAGTTTGTGCTTTTCATACTAGATTGATCTCGTGACGTGATGGAGCGTGTTGAGTTTTTCATACTCGTACGTACATTCATCTCGTGACGTCAGTTTATCAAGTCTCTAAAAATATTACGACAGTCTATGTGGTTTAGTGGATCAGCACACTGCTTTACTTTGTAATATAACAGAGTGTGTTAAATACGCACGTGTATTGTACGACGTTTTTATGCGAGGAAACATAAAAATCATGCTATTGTATTTTGTTCAGTTTAGCACTTTCCCGCCTTTTACTTTTTAAATCAACGCGTTGCTTACTGGCTGGCGCCGCGCGAGGATCTGTTCGAAATTTGAAAAATAGCAAATAGTACTGTTATGGAATATAATTTCACTATTTCATTATATATAATACACTATAAAATGCGTGTGTCATGAGCTGCTTTTCATATCGAAAATCCACTTTACAAGCGAGTATGTCGAAAATAATACTATCGTTAATATAGAATTTGGTGATGGTTAACAAATAAATTTTCATCGGGTCTCGCGATCGGTGCACAGATAACCATCGAGGTGTGCGAGACGGAGTCGCAGGGCGTGGTGCTGCGGTACTGTCCGCTGGAGGGCGCGGCCGCCGCCGACGACGCGGAGCCGGCGCGCGGGCCCCCCGCCTGGAGCGACGCGCTCGCGGCGCAGCTGGGCGTGCTGCGCGCCACCGTGGCGCTGCGCGCGCCCTTCCTGGCCGCGCTGCGCCGCGCGCCCGCCCTGCGCCACGTGCACGTGCCCGGCTGGGCAGGTACACACACTCACTCTATGTCCGGTCCACGCTCGCGGCGCAGCTGGGCGTGCTGCGCGCCACCGTGGCGCTGCGCGCGCCCTTCCTGGCCGCGCTGCGCCGCGCGCCCGCCCTGCGCCACGTGCACGTGCCCGGCTGGGCAGGTACACACACTCACTCTATGTCCGGTCCACGCTCGCGGCGCAGCTGGGCGTGCTGCGCGCCACCGTGGCGCTGCGCGCGCCCTTCCTGGCCGCGCTGCGCCGCGCGCCCGCCCTGCGCCACGTGCACGTGCCCGGCTGGGCAGGTACACACACTCACTCTATGTCCGGTCCACGCTCGCGGCGCAGCTGGGCGTGCTGCGCGCCACCGTGGCGCTGCGCGCGCCCTTCCTGGCCGCGCTGCGCCGCGCGCCCGCCCTGCGCCACGTGCACGTGCCCGGCTGGGCAGGTACACACACTCACTCTATGTCCGGTCCACGCTCGCGGCGCAGCTGGGCGTGCTGCGCGCCACCGTGGCGCTGCGCGCGCCCTTCCTGGCCGCGCTGCGCCGCGCGCCCGCCCTGCGCCACGTGCACGTGCCCGGCTGGGCAGGTACACACACTCACTCTATGTCCGGTCCACGCTCGCGGCGCAGCTGGGCGTGCTGCGCGCCACCGTACACGTGCCCCGCAAAGTAAAATAACAAAAGGAAAATAAGGAGCGACTAATCTCTAGTTTTGACAGTCCCCTCCTCTACCTAAACTAAATATTATTCATGAAATTCTAAGGACAAATTGATATTACAACTATTAAAAAATTTAAACTTTACTTGTATAACAGAAAGAATAAACTACAAGTAAGGAAGGTTAATAGTTCTATTGTTAAAAGACCTCGTCAGGGTCAGAGAAAAATTACTCCGGTAATATATTTACTGCCTTTTCGCTAATAGAAACCTATGTGATAGGTCTGGGCGGAGTTCGGTACGTGCCGCCCGGTTGGGAGGATGCGTCTGCAGAAGAGATCAACTCTCTCAACCGGCAGCTGGTGGAGACGCTGCGAGCTACCGACGGTGCCTTCTCCTGCGGGGACGGTGAGGACGGTCTCGCTTGTGTTCGGTAAGTAATACTACACTATTACAGTACTTAACTATACTAGTGATTTTACTGGTCCTTTGAGCCGGATCCAATGAACAATCAGTTCAATCATCGGTAACAATCGACAGTACCTAGTCGTTAGATCAAAGAGCTGATTTTGAGAATTTCCCTTTTATTTCTGTATTATTTTATAGGTTAAGATAATGTGTTTAATTCTCAATGTGCAGATTCGGCATGGTGACAGCGGACACAGATGTAGAAGAATTGTTAGATCTCGTAGAGAATGCGGGCAAGGAGGTGGAAGAGAGTTCTCGTGCGCTTACAAATATGACTGAAGTATTGAAGAAAGGTCAGTGTTATGGAAAAAAATTCTATCTGTTTTTATGTCTGTTAGGCAACATCGTGTATTTATCGATTTTAAGATCGTGTAGTCAGTACAGTCATATATATGTATATATTGACACAAATGACTATGAATGAGAGCATAAGACATAATGCATCATGCTGATTAGTTCCCGGTTTCATATTCTCGAACTTCACACAATATTTGCTACATTAGTAATTTGGGCTTTTAAGTGTCACTCATGTCGTAATAGAATAGAATGTTAACGCAATACTGTTAATTCAGCAACGCCGGTTATAGGTACATTGTACGATTTTCACAAACAAACTGGCAGGTGGACACTTCTAGGTATATTTTCTACATTAGTTTTAGTTAGTCTAACTGGTCGGTTATGCATAGGCATCGAAGCCGCACAAGCGGACATCGAGCGGGAGAACGCGGAGCGTCTGTGGCAGGAGGGGCTGCTGCGGCGCGTGCCCGTGGTGGGCCGCGTGGTGCAGTGGTGGGCGCCCGCCGCCGGACCCCCACCCGGCCGCCGCCTGCACCTCGCGCTCGGCACGCTGCAGACCACCGACGACGTCTACAGGTACCTACACTCGCTCACATCGAGGGGCTGCTGCGACGCGTGCCCGTGGTGGGCCGCGTGGTGCAGTGGTGGGCGCCCGCCGCCGGACCCCCACCCGGCCGCCGCCTGCACCTCGCGCTCGGCACGCTGCAGACCACCGACGACGTCTACAGGTACCTACACTCGCTCACATCGAGGGGCTGCTGCGACGCGTGCCCGTGGTGGGCCGCGTGGTGCAGTGGTGGGCGCCCGCCGCCGGACCCCCACCCGGCCGCCGCCTGCACCTCGCGCTCGGCACGCTGCAGACCACCGACGACGTCTACAGGTACCTACACTCGCTCACATCGAGGGGCTGCTGCGACGCGTGCCCGTGGTGGGCCGCGTGGTGCAGTGGTGGGCGCCCGCCGCCGGACCCCCACCCGGCCGCCGCCTGCACCTCGCGCTCGGCACGCTGCAGACCACCGACGACGTCTACAGGTACCTACACTCGCTCACATCGAGGGGCTGCTGCGGCGCGTGCCCGTGGTGGGCCGCGTGGTGCAGTGGTGGGCGCCCGCCGCCGGACCCCCACCCGGCCGCCGCCTGCACCTCGCGCTCGGCACGCTACACTCGCTCCGATACCGCTCCCCCGTTTAGTCCGCGCCGTTCTTGACATCACAGTGTACAGGTACGTAGGTACTTAGCTCGACGCTCAGCACCTTGCACACCACTGACGACATGTACAGATACCTATACATATACATATACACTGTTGGTTGTGTTAAAGCTGTATTTAGTTTACTTTGGGTGAAGTGGAATTTTGTACTTAAATTTAAATAAAATGACGTTATGTCTTCACGGTTGTATTTTGGCGACTGACTGTAATATATCACATGTCAAAACCTGTCAGTTCCAGTCTACGATATGCTCCCCCGTAACATTGCCACACCTATTAATATTCTTTTAACACTGGCCCACTCCCGTTAAAATACTAGCCAAATTTATTGCTGTCAATAATATAAAAATATAACCCCCTCTGTATATATTCCCCACATTTTAAAATCCTTGTCTATGTCATGTCTGTCAAACTGTTACATATATTTTATTATACATGTATTTTACTGAACTACTATTTTAATTGTAAGCTAACATATGTTGGTTGTCCTTATTCTTAGCATTCTCAACCAACTGAAACACTCCTTTCTACGAACACAGTCAAGAAAACCGTAAACCACACCACTGTGTCTCCCAAATCACCGACCTCATTTGGTGGAAGCCATTTAAACTAAAAGAAGAAGAAAACTGTAATATACACAAACAGTGGCTGGCCGGCAGATACATACATAACTATAATTACGGTTCGATATAGACCAACTATACACCTCCGCTCCGTTGTTGCTTTTCTTATCATCTTACCATCACAGCGGAGATTACAGTTCCAAGAAAACGTCGCCCTCCTTTGTCGTTGCAGAAATGCCACACAATATGTACGCAATTACCTTTACGACACGTTTTTTCACGCGCGATCAGGAGCACGTGAGAACTAAGGCGTGAAAATCAGCATGCACTATCCTGAGGGATTGCATTTAACTATTCATCGTGGTCACTCTTTCGCGCGTATGATGAAGTCTTTTTTTTTTATCTATTTTCCTTCTACAGATTTATTTTCCAAAAACGAAATATCAACGCTGCAGGTTTCTTTGTAACTTTATACTGATTTGGTTGTTCATCTTTTGCTAACATATAACCATCTCCATTTCCTTTATATGTACATGTATTTTTTCTGTACAAGATATAGGTATACTTTGTTTGTTTGATGAATAAAGAATTTACCTGTCTATTAATCTACCATTTTTTCTAGATTCGTTCAAAAGAAAGATAAAGAAGATTCGGAGCCTGCGCGGGCGCATTCTCCGTCGCGACAAGTACAACCGACCGAAGCACCGACCGAGCAGTCGTAGTGAGTACTTGCCTATCCAGCCCCCAGGACGCAATACGATCGAATCATACATAATATTAGTGATTTGAAGTGGCTTTCATTAATTTAGTATCCACAGTTTGTTCAAATGTTTGATCAAACATTTAACCCCTAATGAACTACTACTCTAGTAGAAATCCATATTGGCTATTACAATGCGTCTCTTTTGAAATGCATTTGTAGTTTGAAAAAAGGTGACAAATGTAATTGGGGTTATTGTTAATATTATCATTTACATGAGTATGTATGATATTCCAACACTGCGTGTTCACCACAAGATTTTTTTATATAACATGTTAAAATATGTACGAGTGTTGCTAAAACACATGTTAGCGAACATTGATAGTAATTTTTATATATGGACACGTCATAGCATGTTTTTAGAACTAGAAGAACGTTTCGGAACATGTATTTTGGTGGAAATGCCAGTGTAGGAACCTATAGTCGCATTTATTATAAATTAACAATGTTTAAAAAAAGTTATATAATTTTAAGTAAGTAATAAATTGTAAAAGAAAGTATTTTATATTTTTTAATTAGTAGGCAAAGTACCTTAAAAATGCCAAATAATTATTACAAATTAGTTCAAAAGTAACAGTAAAGGCCCAAGTGAAGGAATGTAATTTATTGGTTTTGATCAAACATTGGTCCTAAACATGAATACTGTAGATAAATACTACTAAATACAAATAGTTTTATATCATTTTAAATATGTATATTTTAGAGCTAATATACTATTGTAATTAGTTATAATTAAACACATTCTTATTCATAAAAACACCAATAAATGTTTTATCCCGTTTTTTCCGTTTATATTCTTCATTTGATAGAAAGTGACAAAAGATTGTAGTAGTAAATAAATTGGTTTGTTTTTATGAATAAGACGTAATTATTCATTGCAAATAATTATTATAAAATTGTTATTGAACTATGAAAATCACTAGGTTTGTCCTATCCTATCCTGTCCTGTGTTGACTGTAATTGTATTAATAATTTTTTTATTTCATTTTTCAACTGTTACAGTTTACAAGCAGTGCTTGGAAGTTGGAGGAATTTATTATAAATTCCTATTTAATTAGACCATACTTTTTATACTGCCATAAAAACAAAGTAATGTATAAAATGGACTGATATTATTTGTAATATCTCTGTCATGTGTCAAATTTATTTGAATTTATTGTTGTTATTCTATTAATTTACTATGGTATTCTAAATTTGAATGTATTATTTAAAAATAAAACTCTCTTAATGAATAGTACAATGGAAGACCTCAAAAATAAAAATTTGGATAATCGACTGTAAGTTTTAAATATTAAAGTTATTTAACATTTTTATTGATTTGGCAAGACTGGTGTCTAAATAAGTGGTACCTCGACTATAGTATAAAATTATAGGTAAAAAAAATTAAAGGGATGTGAACCTATTCACATCCCTTTAATTTTTTTTAATGTTATGTGATTTTCATAGATTAATAATATATCTTTAAATATAATTTCTTATTAATGTGCTCATTGATTTGGGTCCCCTAAGGACTAGTGAGATCTATACTAACAATTATACATAGACAAAATCACGTAATCGCTCGACATTTAATGTCGACTCCATACAAAAAGGCTTTATACATGAATTAGCGAATAGATAATTAAATATAGCCTCTTGATCATAAAAACTAAAAGCTAAAACTAATGAAATTGTCTTCGTTGTACCTCTCTCTTATTAATTGTAAACTATGATAAGCACCTTCCTTATAAGCTGTGTTTCTTTTGTTTTTAATTAATTATAATAGAAAGAATCACCCGCCTGCGCTAACGGTATACGCTGACGGGGCACCAGTGGAGGACGATAAGATGAGCATGAGGTCAGTTAGTCCATCGTGAGAAATTCACCAAGAACTTATCACGATGGTTTCCATGGGGAACCAAGTGGACGTCAAACTGACGTGGTACATTGTTAGCAATGGAGTTGTCAATAATCCACATTACTAATTCCATTCCTATAGCTGTATTCAGTTTGAAGAGTGAAATATAACTGAAAATCCCGATGGCAAGGTATGCAGGCTACACCGCAATCGTTATATTAAAATTCAAACATCTTTATTCATGTAGGTCTATTACAGACTCTTATGATATGTCAAATCTACCGTCAGTTCGAAATGATTTACAGAAGACTGACAAGAAACTCAGCTCGTATTCTTGATATAATATCTCACAGATATATGATCTGATGTCCAGAACTGTTCATGTATACAATCGACGTTTACCACTTACCATCAGGTGGGTCGTCAGCTTATTTGCCATTTCACTTGCATATAAAAGTATTTGTATTTTATCACTTTCTATAGAAAATAGTACAAAAGGGAGGAACGAAGTAGTTTAATAGTATAACGTTTTTATGAATAAGGAGTCCAGAATGCAATAAGGTTTTCTACATTTACCAGTGACAGATAATGTAATTGAAAACGTATTCCTTTGTAATATGCGCTAGAATTGTTTGTTACGTAAACTTATTTTAATTTGTTAGAAATATTACATAAGTAGCATGTATTCAGTGCGCGTAACAATGAGGTGTGTCCACCCATTTATTGGCAACAATTATTCCGGGGTAAATATTACATGTGGGCCCTGGAGGTCCCTGGTACGTCGGGTGAACAGAAATAATTTAACTAAAATATAGTTTACTAAAAAATGTAAGCAAAAACCTCATATAGTATACGCCACTGCATGTCTTGTTATAAAAAAAACTATCTGTAATAAGATGACAAATTAGAATTTATTATGTAAAAAGTATGATATAGAAAAATAAGTAATTGTTGCTTTTAAAACTTTGCGTTTAGTATTTTTATCCATTTTTAATATAGTACATCTGGTCTTAACACGAATAATTAAAAGGTGGTCTTATCGGTTTTATATAAGATTGTCGCGGGTTCGATTCCTGTCCAACTCAAACATTTCTATCATTTCATTCATTAAATCATCAGCAGCCCATTGCAGTCCAGTGCTGGATGTACCAATTTGCGGTCTCCACACTAGAACACCTCTACTCTAGCGAGCATCGGTTCTGCGTCAGATATGACCAGCCCACTGCCACTTAGGTGATCACCATACTAAAAACAAATTACTAAATCAAAATTGGGGCTAGTTGCTAGTTTATTATATTCCAATTAAGACCATATTACCAAACGCAAGAGTTTAGAATTGCTCACAGCGTGTGCCCACAACGTTACTTCTTTTTCAGATCAAACTTATAAAACCGCATCTAAACGTGTTTAAAATGTAATGTAGTGTATTATCTAATAATCACTGAAATAGAAATAGAAATAATCTTCTTTAAAATAAACTTTAATGTAAGCACTTTTGAATATTAAGTTTAAATTTTGGTAGTGCCTTTAACAGTAAATTTTGTCATGCGTAGTGCAATAGGTTAACTAGTTTTTATCATCATTATAATAATCATCTACAGAATAGTAATTATTTATTATATTAATTAATTGAATGAAATAGTAACTTGCGTGTTGCTCTTTTAAATAAATACACATTAACAAGGAGGAAGCATGCGGCAATCAATATAGAAACCGCTACGCGCTCATTCTTTGTGCAATCAAGTAATATTGTGTATGAATTTTTAGTTTCTTTCTACAAACACATTATCTTTATAAATTCTTCAATTTTATCATAACCTACTTTTACAACAAAAGTTTTTTATACAACATTTGAATCATTTTTCAGGCTGATTGATAACAGACTGATGATTGAATTATTATTCATCTCATTGCTATAATCCCCACCTTTAAAGCTGCCTACTATTACTTACTGTACTTTAATTAAACATTACATTACATTACGCGTTTGGATGCGGTTTTTAACTAGGAATGCTGTACTAAATAGTAGCTTTTCTATTACAATTACAGATAATTTATTAAAATGTATTCTAAATATGTGGAACATATATGTCCATCAATATTTTCATATAGTTGAAAAGGATATACATTTATAAATGTATATTAAATACAATAAGGCAATATATGTACATATTGTATTTTAAATACTTTATTAAAGAAGCGCTGTTTTAATTAAACACATTTGAATACTATTTAAAATGTTGAATATGTATGAAATAAGGGTTCTGCCAGATTTGATTAGACAGGGAGAATAACACGAGTAGTGGTGTGTTGATATGCATAGGTAAGGTCACATGTCTCGGGATCTGCTCGGAGTTTCTCTCCCTGCCTCATGATGGACCCGGCACCCGCACGGAATCCATGAAATACTAATTTCATCTCTCCCAAGTAATATTGGAACTTTAACAGGAATCAACTACCTTAAGTTAATTCCTATTTTGAGAGATTGAAAGAAAGATAAAATATTTCTTCAGTACTTTTCAGTTGTTTACAATAGAAACAAAATAATAAACTGTTTATATATATGGTAGAAAAGTTATTTAATTAAATAAATATTTCTATAGATTTCTTAATTTTAAACATAATTACTTTTAAAGTTCTTCGTGTTACTTGGATCAAAAAAAATATATTTGAAGAAAATACAATTTGCAACATAAACAGACTATGTCAAGTATGATGGAAGTACGTAACATTTTATGAAATAATCTGACGAGCAATATTTTGTATGTCAATTTATATTACTAAATCTCTAGTGATGAAAATAACAATAAAAACAAATTAATAGTAAGGGACGACGGTAGGTACGATTACAATGTTTACAGCGAAATGTGGCCAAATGTTGCGTACTCCATAACGTTGAAAATGTGTTTAATTACTCCATCTAATGTAACAGCCGAGATATGTGTACACGTTGTTGCTTTTAATTTTAATTAGTATACGTTTAATAAAAGCGCACTTAAGAAGCCTTACTTTATAGGTACCAACTGACTTTCCTTGCCGTACAGATGAAAATTTATTAAAATTAGGTTACTTTTCGGGCAGGATATTTCATTATTTAAACTCTATTTATTAAATTAATTACTTTTGATGAAATATTATTATATTTCCGAACATATAGTTTCTACGTATTCCTGCTCTTACATTATACATATAGCATTTTTATAATTTTCTCTGAACGATAAATAAGTTATCTGGTATATATTTAGTTTGTATAATAATTAGATTTATCCCACTGCTGTTACGCCATCACGAAATTTTTTATAATTCATTCCAATTCAGTATTCATTAAGTTTAATTTTAAATAAAATATACCTATTAATTATTCATTGAAATTAAAAATGACATTATATAAAAAAAATAAAAATACATGAAGCCTTATTAATAAGTTGGTGCATTTTATTTATTATCACAATTTTAAATTAATTTTATCTTCTTAATCTTCAGCAAGTTAAGTTACCTATTGAATAATTATATTTATTTCAAATCATCACGCAAATGTTTGTTTTATTTAATAATAATATTTAAAATAATTTTATTTTTGGTGCAAACAAGCTAATCTTAAATATTAAATAGTTATTGAAAACTTCGACATTTCGTTGGTCTTTATAAATCCTTTTGAAACACTTGATCAGACTCGATCTTAAGAAAGGTCCTCTTGTATACATATGAATGTGGTATTTTATTTATATTTTTCCATTTTTAAAAAAAAAATTACACTGGTATACTAAAGGAGAGGGGCTGGAGAGAAAATGCATTAAGCAAGTAATTACTATGTTGGATATTTAATGCCGTCCTATTACAAAAACCAAACTAAACATACCTTTTTTTAATACTAGGTATAAACCATGGAACACATAATGTATACCTTAAAATATATGTATGTTTAACGGCTTATATATACGAGTTGTAATTTATTTATGAATATGAGGATGAAGTCTAGCCCGTCGTGGTTCCAGAAGACTATGTGTAGGTAACTTGGATATTTGTAAGTATGTCGATTAAAGTACAACGATTACTGATTATTATCAAAACAATCTATTTTTAAATAGTTTCGATTCTCAACTTAAATTTAATTCACTGCCATCATGATTTTTATTTTCTTTTATTTATTAAGACATATAAAATTGTTATTTCTTAATTGCCTTCTATTTCTTAATTATCAAAATTGGAAAATTGTAAAAACATGATGTAAAACACGAGGTTTTGACTTCCATATCCAAAAAAAAATTTTAAGATTGGCAACTCAGCTTGATTTTGACAACAGCAATAAATTAAAAAAAAAACTCATAATTCAAAATACTACTTTTGTTTTTATATTTAGTTATTTTACTTTTACTCAGTTTTGTTTTGGTTAAATTAAACTATTAAGTATATTGAGCGGTTGGTATCTTTTATGACCGGAGGACATTACATAAATATATTGGGATATGTCGAATTGTTCTTGGAAGTTGGATTAACTTGTTTAAAAATGACTACATCAATTTTAGCGCAAAAAATATTGTCTGTAAAGTTAGACAAAGCGGAATTTGAAAAAAATAAATGGCTAAGATACGACAATGCGGAAAAGAAGCAAGAAATCATTAAGTAAGTGGTTTGTCATAAAATGATGGAGAAAATTATGATATGATCACTGCTTTACCACATTTTTTCACTCTACAGATCAATAAAAACAGTAATTGCTCAACAAAATTTAGATAAAACATGTAGATTATGTTTAAAACCTGGAGTTACAGCAATTTTTGGCAACACCCTGGATATTGATATGGCAAATAATATTAAATGCATATTGGGAATAGAGGTGAGTTTATACGCAATATAGTTTTAATTATTTAAATTTTTAATAATTATTATGAAAATTACTAAAATTTTCATAATAAGTATTAAAAAACATATATAAAAAATACAATTAATTAAAAAAGCATAATTATAATGTCAGTAAATATTAGTTATAAATTAATGAAGAAAAAGACACATTTAGCTACATTAATAAGCCTGATTTCACAGGTTTCTGATAGAGATGGTAAGCCGCAACATATCTGCAATTTATGTGCAGATGTTGTGAATAACGCTGTTGAGTTGAGACAGACCGCTGAGATCACCCAATGGAGGTTACAACAGGAATTGGAAATGGGTGAGAAGTTGATAATTAACTCCTATTTAAGTAGTAACTAGGTTCAAAATACAAGAGTGACATTATCAGTAAAACTGTTTATTTTTATGTGACTGGAATATTTATTTATTGACATCAAAGTTTACAGTTGGTTTACAATATCCCAATATTAATATAAGTGTTAGCATTGTTTGAGAAATCAAATGTGCAACCATCTGAAGTAAGATAGTGTGCTTAACTGCTAGATGAAGAGGCCATCATGCTATATTAATATGCTATTATAGCTGTCATCTTCTTGTTACAGTTAATGCACTACTGTGTACTGAGTTAGTATTTATTTGATATATTATTGGTGCCTACACTTACAACGGTCAACTCTTGGCACCCTTCTATTTGTTTGTCTCCACATAACTTAAATTTAAGTTCAGTGTAAAGTCAGTCCATATTACAACAGTGCATTGAGAGTATGTGTTACTAATAAGCCATGTAGCACATTATCAAATAAACTTAGTAATATAACTTCAATTATTGCACCTGTATACTCACTACCTAGAGTACAGGAAACAAATAAATTAAGTATTACCACCTCACCACATCATATATGTATAACATTACAGTGGTAATGTGATACCCATTATGTTACTAATGCAATGAAAATTATTATTATTTACATTTCTTCAGTGTCAGAAACAACAAATGAGTGGGAACCACAAGAGATCCAGAAACACCATGGTGGTTATTTTATAGAGAAATCCACTCAAATCTCGCGTGAATGGATTTGTGGTAGATGCAGGCGAATATTCCAAAATCAAGTGAGTTTTTATTATTAATATTACCCCAGGACAATTCACATAGCATCATCTAAACCCAAGCTAAACAGAACTTGTTTTATGGTTATTTCTTCTAAACAAGGGATATAAAACAGTATACTAAAAAACACCCAGACTGATAAAAACAATCATACTCATGAATACAAATATTTGCGCCGTGCAATTACTGAACCGGCGATTATCGGAAACAAAGCAGTGTGCTAAGGCGCTAGTAGCTGTCTATAATGAAATAAAAATAATATTGTCTGTACTGTACAGGATGAATTTATAGAACATGAAAAGCTGGAGGTATGTCGAAAGGTGAAGTGCTACGTATGCGAAACGTGTGGAGTAGAGGTGAAGACAGTCACTTGTTTGAAGCGGCATAGGTAGGTATATGAGACTTTAAAACAAAAAAAACTAGAAATAAATTAAAAAAAGAAACAAAAAAAATGTACCCAAATATGACACTACTTCTTAAGTTAATACTTAACTTTAATTTTCATTTTATTACTGTTAGTTTTTTTTTAAGTATCCTGCCCTAAGAGGCTTAAATACAGCCACCCGGGGGTTGTTGTCCCCAGAGTTCATGCCAGGGCAAAGGGGTTCTCCCGAGGGCCAACCTTCACTACCTGAAATTGGTATTAAGCTGATGGAAAGTAATGTAGAGAGTATTCTTGCCTGTATACGTATATAACATAACAGACATCACAAACCATAGAGCAAATCCTTCTCCTTCCTCTTCTCATCAGGATTTTACTCTATGGAGCTAAAACCTTCACCCCACTGTGAAACTAATGATAATGTGTCTTAATCACCATATTATTTAAAAATTAAATGATATTTTTTGTAGAAAAATCTTAAAATTCATAGCATTGACAATATTACCTAATTACAGAAAGAATAAGTGCATAGCGGTTTCTATGTTGATTATCACATACCTCTTGTTACTGTGTAATTATTTATTTTAAATAAGTTTTATTCAAAAGAGCAGTTAGTTATAAGTTTTTTTTGCTCATTCTTCTTATGAGTGTACATTCTGTTTGAATGGTAGAATAAAAATATTATGATTGTTCAAAAATGCTTGTATTGACTTTATTGGAATAAATATTATTTATATTTTAATTAATTTATTACAGTTTAATTCACACTGGAGAACTCCAATACCCGTGCGCACGCTGCCCGTATCGTGCCCGCACTAAGTACGCGCTGATAGTCCACGAGAGATCCCACACAGGGGACCGTCCAGTCCGCTGCCCACACTGCCCGGCGAGCTTCCCCAACTCCTCCAATCTGGCGTCGCACAAACGTAGCCACTTTCCGCCAGCTTATCATTGTCAGTTATGCCAGAAGGGATTCAAGTTTAAAGAAGTAAGTGTTAGACAGCGCCATCTGTTAAGCGCCGACAACGCGCAAGTTACACACCGGGTGTTTTGGACGTCTATGGGCTACGGTAACCTTTTCACATCAGATGTCAAGTTTGATTCTTCGCAATCGCGAAAGTTTGTGAGTATGGATGGACCCACCTAGAATGTTTGTTACTCTTTCACGCAAAAACTACTGAACGGATTTTCATGTAACTTTACAATAATATGTATCAAGTAAGTGTGATGCTGACGACGATGCTGTTATTCTGATGTATAAGCTTTATTATTGTAAAGTTTCATTAAAATCCATTTAGGACGCCCTGGGTAGTCTCGCACACCGCTATACTTTCGATTCCTCGCATGGTAAATATTCTTTGTATTGATGTTTTATTTTCAATGTATATACTTAAATACATTTTTTATAAAACATACAAAAAATATATTTAAGTATATTTGTCAGTTATCTAGTACCCACAAGGTCTGCTTAGCTTAGGACTAGATGGCGCTGTGTGAATTGTCCAATTATGACTGGTTTGGCAAACAAACACACTACACCAAATGATGTAACAGTCACCTCCATACATCAACAGTACCAAGAACATCACGTTATCACGTCGTATCATTCCTGAGGACTAACTTGTTATGCCTCCAGATCCTGTAATTTCACCACCTTATCAGCTTCAACTGAATCACATCAATTTCAGTTGCAAAGCAGCCTTTTTTGGAAACCGTGGCTGAAGTACCCACGCAAACAGCTTCAACTTTTGTAAAGTTTACCACATGATACTGGAGAATCTCCTGTCAGGCAGTAATATAAATTGACAGGACATTAGATTTTCTTTTCTTGTGTACAAAGTCATGTTGCCACAGAGTAACAAACCTTTTTTTTATGTTCATAAAAGTAAGAGATTCCTTTGTTAATTGCACCATACAAAGCAGAGTTAGGTCCTAATAATAATACAAAAAACTAACTATACAATCGAAGAATTCGTTAACGATAATAATGTTTTTATAGAAAAACTTTAAACCTATAACACTGACAATATTATCTGGTTACACTAATGAGTGCGTAGCGATTTCTATTGATTATCGCATGCCTCTTACTTGTTATACTGTAATTGTTTACATAAAAAAACATCTATTACAAAGAGCAACACACAAGTTTCTTGCTCATTATTCTTGTAATGAATCTGCATTCCGAATGAGTGATAGAATCAAAATATGACTATTCAAAAGTGCTTGTAATGAGTTTATTTGAATAAAGATTATTTCTATTATAATGAGACCACTCTTTCTTCAGGGACTTAAAAACCACACGGCCAGTCAGCACAGTAATGCAAAACCATTCATTTGTTTATTATGCAGCAAGCCATTTTCAACACGGTATGTGGGATTATTGTATAAGTTTGTTATTTACTGTTGAGTTACTGTAATCTGCAGATATTTTAATACTCTATTTCACCGATTTCTAGACTACTTTTTGGCAAAAAAGATAAAGGTGTATAAATGCATCCTTGTTTATACACAGTGTAGATATAGTCTGTATAACTACATACTAATATGGACATATTTTATTATTTAGGCTATCTTCATTTAATTAAAATACATTCAACCAAAAGATTAGAAAAGAAAACAGTGACCGTTCTTTCGAATATTTTATATTAGTAATTGATGTAATAAAAGAAGTGCTTAGAAAGTTTATTTGAATAAAGAATTATGTTCTTTTTGGTAATTTACTTCTTATAAAAATATGTTTCAGGAAAATGATGCGGCGACACGAACGTAAAGCACACAATCGGCCGAAAATGCGATCGGGGGTTGTACCGAGTTATGTGAAACAGCTGCAGGAGTTATAGTTGTCTATTCTATTCAACTTTTTACACTTGTACATGATTGACTAAAAAAAGGAGTTAAAAAACAAAATATGAAGGCCTATATTTGCTACCCCAATAGACCAGGCATTCTAATGGGCACTATTGGACTCATCAAATAATGTACTGTAATCCTCCTGGTTAATTGGAATTTGTCATGTGCTAACTGACTTGGCTTCGTGCATATTTATAAACCTACACTGATGAAATACCATTAGCAGTAGCCAGTATACATCATCATCATTTCAGCTCGGAAAGACTGTATATAGGCCTCCTCCAAAAATCTCCTTGATGACCTGTCCCGTACTACTTGCATCCAGCAACCTAGACCTTGTCTGAGGCCTTCCCACGCTGCATCGTTTGGTCACCAGTAGACAATATATTTATCCATAAAAAAACCCAGGCCATATGCCATTCACTTTTGGACAAAAAAGAAACTCAATAGGGGTGGCCTATAAGCTTGTTGGCATTCTCTCATTAAAAAATAATGTTTTATCAAGACTGAGAATATGTTAGTTATTAGTGAGCATAAGTGGTTTTGTTTATAGAAAATTGTAAGAATTGCATTTGAAATTAAATTAATTATAATATTAATTTAAAATTATATTTGTTAAATATAAATGTGTCAGTATTATTTCTTTAACAAAACTACCCTCTGTATTACATACAGTTTAGTAAACATTAAATAATACAGGTTGACTAATATCAATAGCTCCAGACTACCCCACCTATGATTAAAGCAGAGAGTATATATTTTGAACTGTAAATTCATGATCTTTACAACAAATATTATAAAGAATTTTCTAGTCGACTGCATATTGCATATGCAGACCCTGTTAGTATTTATCAAATTTATGTGAATGTAGAAAGTCATGGGTAAGAAAGATGTCAAGGGAACTTTGTTTTGCCTATCTTATAATCAATCTGGTTAAGTGGGGAAAGGGGATTGTTAGTAATGTGATAAGTTTGTTGACCTCCATGTGATTCACCCTGGAAACCATTGTGATAAATTCTTGGTGAATTTGTCACGATGCGCTAACTGATCTGACCTCATGTTCATCTTATCATCCTCCATCAGCGTAAACCATTAGCGCAGGCGGGTGCATCATTTCAATATCATCACATATCACAGTTAAGATGCATAGTTTTGCTTTAGATATATATATGATAGTATTTATCAACTCCCAATATATAAATACTGTTAGAAACATTTTGGTCAAAGGTGATCGAAATAAAAATAGTGTTATTGTAAATATCCCACTTCTATGTTTACACTTACTAATATTGTGACTCAAGAAAAGCTACATACTTAGTTTCACATTCTTATATATTCAAGCCAGCTTTATTAAGTATTGAGGTTCTAGGCAATAGTTTCTTTGTGTGGTTCTTAACAGATTAAAGTTAACTATATTTTTCTATAAGACCAGGATGGATCAGAACATACTAATTTCAATATCAACAATTATCCTCATTCTTATAGAATTTTTAAGTCACATTTTTTAATTTGTCTAGTCATAATACAAAGAATTATGCTTTTACTATAATATTAAATGAAAATAGTTTAAAATATACTTAAGGGTGTCATACAGAATAAATAACTTCATTAAACCTAACCTCAAACTGTCAATAGGTGAAATACAAAAACAAGATCAGTTTTTTTGGGTTTTTATTTACTTACAGCCCTAAACCGTCATATTACTTCTTGGCGGCCGCTCCCACTTTGGATTTTTTGGTACCACGTACCTTCTTCATTCTGTTCTTACGTTCCTTGCGCTGTTTGCGTGTTGGTCGCTTCTTCTCGTATAAGCCGTGACGTGCTAGCCTGTGTTTGGGCTCGAACTTCTTGGCCAAGTCCAAAGTGTCGTAGATAAGCGCAAAGCCAGTCGACTTTCCACCACCAAAGTTCGTCTTGAAACCGAATACGAAGACTACATCAGGGGTAACTTTGTACATCTTTGCTAGCTTCTCCCTGATCTCAGTCTTGCTGACGGTTGGTTTCCCAGGATGGAGTACATCACAAACCATTTGCTTGCGCGCCAACAATCTAAAAATTAACAATACCTTGTCACATAACCTGTCATGGTGAGGTGTTAGGGAGCATCACACGTCGATATAAACATGTTTCCACTATATATTCAATGATTCGCTTATTTACCTGTTGGTCATGAATTTCCGCGTACGAATCGTTGCAGTGCCTTCACTCATTTTTACTTATTTTAGATATTTCGGCGTAAACCACGCACGTGTCTACAACAAATTTGTAGAAAAAGAAATTTTCAACCTTGCCAGTCTTCGATTATTAATTCCTCATAATGCTTTATTTTTTTTATGGCAATATTTTTTTGTACGTTCAGAAGTCAAACTTTCGGAATACAGAAATAAAATATTCATAAATTTTTTCGAGTTTAGAGCATGTCTAGTTTAGTTAATTTTATTCTATTATTATTATTTAATATACTTATTTCGTTTATAATTTAAGAAATAAATTTGTAACATCCTTTATTTTAATGTAAACTAAATTTGAGAGTTTTTTTGTAGGTTATAATATAATGGCGCCCTCTATCGAGACAAATTGTCAGTTCTTAATCAAATTTAATTAAACTTTGAAGCACGTTCGATTATCGAACCTATTCGATCAAAGTCAGTTTGCAACTTATAAAGCTATTCTTGTATACATTTTATTTTGTGTAGTTTAAAAGAAACAGAGTTTTGAATTCCAATTTTCGTTCTCAAGAGGCTTGATGTTACATTTTTTTTTTATGGATGATAATGGAATGGTGCACCCGCCTGCGCTAACGGTTTACGCTGGCGGGGCACCAGTGGAGGATGATAAGATGAGCATGAGGTTAGGTCAGTTAGCCTATCGTGACAAATTCACCATGAATTTATCACGATGGTTTCCAGGGGGAACCGCGTGGAGGTCAACCTGACATGGTACATTGCTAGCAATAAGATCAGCAGTTCACATTACTAACAATCCCCTTCCCCCCTTGATGTTACATTGTATCAGTCATTTCGGACAGGTGGTGGTATAATAAGCTTATTATGACGTCAAATCAGTTTAGGAGATCGCAAAGTAGTGGGACTACCTATGTGATGGATTGATAATATGATTACCATATAAAATGTATGCAAGTGACTTTTGGCCATTCATTATATTGCAAGATGGGGAACCTACTATTATATACCTACTATTGTTCTACAGTGGACTTATCCATTGTTGCAATTAATATAATCAATATCTGTATCAAATAAATATATTTTTATATAGACATAGATATGTATAATTATTCTAATACCGATGTAATTAGTAATTATACTATAAAGTCATATTTTTATCGGATAATTTAAAGGAATATAAAAAAGAGATAACTGACTAAATTACACATTTATTTCTCGATTAAAATACAAAATTAATCTGTGATGCAACAGATACACACAGAAAGATTAGATTTATTAGTACGGCAGTAAGTCGTACCAGTCGTACTAATGTAATCTGTTTCATATAAGGCAAGACAAATCAATTGGTAGATACTTAACCGGAGAGAAATTAAAAAGTTTAATATAAAACAAAATTAGCTAAAACGTAGGAAAGAATTCAGAAATTCGAATTGGCGATGGCGGCAACAATATCAACCGCAAAAATTAAGTATCAAAGCTTACAGGTAGCTACAAATAAAAGAACATACAAGTACTCTATAACAAAGAATGTACACAATACACATAATACCTACATAAATAGAGGGGAAATGTTGTTTATGAGTCCTTGAACTTTCACGCTTCATGGCCACTTCGATAAAAGTTATATTTACACTGGTAATTACCTATAAATATTGCAATAATATCCTATCAACTAATGGATGTAGCCACATTATAAGATTAAGTCCGTAATTTCATTTATTCAATTGTTAATCCTTTTATAACTTCATATTAATTGATAATATTTTTTTTTGTTTGTGTTTTAATATTGATATAATTAGTAAGGTCGGTATTATGAATTGCAGAAACTTTAGGTGCATTTTAGGTGTAAGATAATTTCACTTTTTTACAGCAATGTTGATTAATAATAATAATTTAATTTATTATAATAAATTGTACTAAAAAATAGGCAAGGTAACGAATCAAAAAAATTTGGCTTTAAATAATACAAGACACAAAAATCCGACTTCAACCATGACGTAAACCATGAAATGTATGTATAGGTGTACCGTCAACACGGGAGAATACTCCTTCCAAATCTTATTGTCAATCATCATAATCGGTGTACAATTCGCTATATTATGTTATTAATATATAATTTATTTCTTCCATAGAAGAAATAAATTAAATTGAGAACCTATTCTTTCTTAAGCTGGTAAAAAAATTGTAAAAACAAAATGTGAGCGCCCGTGGGAGGGTGTAGTAAGAGCGAACATCTTTTACATAAATAATAAATTTAGTAAATAGTGGAAGATTTTCGTCAGGCGCAATGAAAAATAAATAGGAACATTTTCGCGTAAATTGTGGGTTAATTGAAGAAAAATTCATAATGAACTTCAAAGTGATTGAGGTGAGATTTGAGGTTGTTTTACATTTTATTTATGTCAGGAAATCTTCACAGAGTCCCAGTAGATTGTGTGCCACTGCCGGATTCTTATCGTTTAAAGCGCTGACTGCTATTCCTTCTTGTTATATACCTACTAATTTAATTATAATTGCGATGTTTGCATCTCTTGTGGAAGTTAATTGAAGATAAGTTCATTTGATTGATTAGTTTATTTATTTATTTTATTTAAAAACAACAATGACTTACAAAATTATGTGACTGTGTACTAAAAAGTATGTATGCTTTGTGTGCACACAGGGCCGTATATAAAACAATAAATTACTATATGCTAAATTTATAACAGGCATACAAATCATATTATAACTTACTTTTTAAATCTGCCAACAAATGCTTTTATGCAACCAAGCAACACAATCGAGAATAATATTTGAACAATTATTATAATTATAATTAGTTGTTTCCCTTATAGAAAATAATAAATTATAAAATAAACATGCCTTGGTACTCTATGAAAATTTTGTTTTAAGAATCATTGCAAAAATATTACTAAAATCACAGATAATATAATATTACGTACTAAAAGTTAAAAGCAATATTGTGTGAGCGTGAAACATATAATCTATTTGTGTACCAATCAATTGATTCTGTCTAGCAACTGTACAAATTATTTACACGGGATATTTGCCATGACAATATTATTTAAGAGCTCGCGTAGATTTTGAGTATGGATTGTGTACCACAGTGCATTTTACCACCAGGGCTAACTGAACTGTCTCCATGCGTATCCGTCCTATCATCCTCAACTGGTGTCCCGCCAGCTTATACTGTCAGCGCAGGCGGGTGTACTATACCGTTATTACAAATATTGTTTTTTATAACAGTTGACAATAGAATGGTAAATCCGCCTACGCTAATGGTATGCGCTGTCGGGACACAAGTGGCGGATGATAAGATGAGTATGAGGTGAGATCCGATAGTAAAAAAAAACCTTATTAAACATATTGTGTAATCCATGAATTCATCCAGTTAGGTACTACTTTTTACTTACTATATGCTATATATTTGGTTGTAAGTACACAATAGCAGTACAAAAATAAACATTTTATAGTAATAGTATGTAATATTATGTTATCTGTGGTAATAGTATGTAATATTATCGTATCTGTGGTGATAGTGATATGTTTCATAGTTTTAAAAAAACCTTATTAAACACACTGAGTAATACATATCCATCTTCCATCCAGTTGCTATATTTACTTACTATATGCAATATATTGGGTTGCAAGTATACCATAATAATATCGTATATCATTATGTCCAATATCAAATCCCTGTAGAGTAATTTACATTGTGGTATTGGAGGGGAATATATGTCAAGGGAACTGTACCTATTCATTGATGGCTCCACTTTTTGGCGAAATGCCACGACATTACATTATCGCGTCCATTTACAACTTTTACAAGAATATATTATTATCTATGACATTGGATATAAATAATAATCATCATTATTTGTCTCAAATAATAATCTATTACAATTACTGCTTATAATAAAATTTAGAAGTATCGAGACAAAACAGGGTGCAGTGAGTCCAGCCTCTCTGCTATTCTGTTCTAGCCTTTATTAATAAATTATTACAATAAAATATATTAAATTGGATAGTGAAAACTAGACAGGGACTCACGTCAGGGTTTAGAAACTACGGCAGTGATAAGTACCAGATCCCTGTTCAGAACATTGATGGATAAGGTTCAGTTATATGATGATTCCCAAACTCTGGTATAAGAAAATTACCAGATAAAAGGCATAACATCTTCCTCATCTGGTATAGCAACGAATAATTGGTATCACGGGTGTTACATGATAACGTGATGGCCGTAGTGTTGTTCATATCTGTATACTGAACTGGACGGTAGGGAACAAATATATATACAGAAAATTTGACATTTATAAGCGACTAAAATGCCCTACATGAATTAATGATTTTTGATTTCGTTTGATTTGATATATACATATATAGGTGACAGTTAACGCTAACAATCAGGCGGGTTGTTAACTTTTTCCCATTTCAAAGTTATATTATTAAAGAAATAGGTATAAGTTCATCCACTACGTTTGTTTACTTTACTGCCCTGTGTTATTCTATATATAGTCTATTGTAATTGAATTAGGTACATGACGCATGCGAAAATGACGCAAGCGGAACCACCGGCAAACAGTAGTAGAGTGCTATTTTAATTTATTTTCTATACTTATTTGTGTCTATAGAAATTCTCTAGTGACGTCACGTCGTCACGGGCTGAACCGTCCATTTAAGTTAGACCTCTATGTATTGCTTCAGACTCCCTTTTACAAACCTGATTGCTAAGAGCAGAGGGTGAAGGGGTAGCTCAATAGAAGTGGTTAAGGGGATGGAGGCACCCCATATCGATCGTGCTTGTTGGCGCCAGCCGTATATTGTAAACGAACCCTGGACAGTGTGCTCGTCTCTTACTGCTGAAAATACCTGAAAAGATTCCCAGTATCCAATCATTCTTAGAGCGTCTAGTATCTGGGTATGTTATTTATAATAGTTCTTAAATACTTTAAGTTAATTTCAAATGAAATAATCTCGTTTTGGTGCTTCAAGAAAGTTTCAGTTAAAACGTGCTTTTGACAGTTCAAGGTTCATAAAGATTAGCAGAAGACAAATGCTTTATTTTCACGATACATATGCATAACAACGACTTTTAAATATTTCAGTTTGATAATTTATTTCTGAATTTATTCAAATTCATTTTTTTTATATATGTTAAGTATTATTATGAAGAGGAAAAATTTTATATGTTTATTGTAGACCTACAATGAGAAATACTGGTAATCCTTTATCCATATTAAAATAGAAGCGTCCTTTATATATGATACATGTACACCTATGCGAAGCCAGGGCGAGTAGCTAGTGTAAAACAAAGTCGCTGTCGTGGTCTGTCTGTCCCTATGTATGCTTAAATCTTTAAAACTACGCAACGTATTTTGAAGCGATTTTTTTTATAGATAGAGTGATTCAAGAGAAAAGTTTATATATATAATACATATACACCTATGCGAAGCCGGGGCGAGTAGCTAGTATAGTATAAAACAAAGTCGCTGTCGCGGTCTGTCTGTCCCTATGTATGCTTAAATCTTTAAAACTACGCAACGGATTTTGAAGCGATTTATTTTGTTAATAGATAGAGTGATTCTAGAGGAAGGTTTATATATATAATACATGTAGCTTATGTTAGCTGTAAGCTTGTGCGAGTGGGTAGTACTCTATATAAACGTCTAAAATCTCTTTTCTATATTTATGATATAATAAATTTTATAATGGATAAACTGAAATACCGCAACAGATTTGAAAAACTCCTTCGCCTGTTATCAACGATTAAAATACACAATTGTATTAAAAAAATAGGCATTGACTATTGGATTTATTATTATCTGTGGGTCAAAGAAAAATTAGATACAAAAATACGTACATATACATTCATGTTTAGTTAGATAGCGTGTGTGTTTTTGATGGACGAGATATTAGTGTTACTTCGCACTTTCGCATTCAGATTTCTCTCCTATTCTATATCCCTTACATCTTGGTAGTACCACAGATAACATAATATGTAGTAATATTAATGGAATGTGTCCGACTGTTGAAAGGGAATTGTTTTTAAAACAATTTGGACTGAATCGGCTTGATGTTGGTATGTACCACAGTATACTATCTGATCCTGCATCATCGCCAGCAAAATTTTTATTTTCATTGTGCAGTAGAAGATAAGATTAGTACTAAGATACGATGGGACTGGCATTATCATATTATGATAAAAGTCCCTAAATAAATGTAAGAACAAAAAAAAAATGTAGTACTTAGTATAGTTTAATACATTTACATATCTTTAATAATATTAGCCAACAGAATATCTGCGCTGCAGGTTTATCTATAGCTTTATACGGCGCCGGTTTTTTTTATGGATGATAATGGAATGGTGCACCCGCCTGCGCTAACGGTTTAAACTGGTGGTGTACCAGTGGAGGATGAACATGAGGTCATGTCAGTTTGCCTATCGTGATTAAATAACCAGGACTTGACCACGACGGTTTCCAGGGGAAACCGCGTGGAGGTCGGCCTAACATGGTACATTGTTAGCAATAGGGTGATTATTAATAATCCCAATAGGATGATTAGACCCCATACGGCGTTGGTTGCCTAATCACCTTTGCTGCACATAAAGCTATCTCCAATTTTTTAATTGTAGTTTTATTTTTTCTGTAATATTTAATTTGAGTATAAAGGTTTAATTATCAGGGATGTTAGGGAGCTACGTAACCGTAACCGAAACTATCGGATATCCGATATAAAAAAATATTCGTAACCGTATCCGAATCCGAAATAAGAGTTTCGGATAATATCGGATAGGGGCGGAGCCTAATTGAGACACGTTATGTAACCATTTTATTAGCTATTAGTATTTTACTTTTGAAATTGTTTAAAAAATTAATATCCGTAACCGAAATTATCCGAAACTAACGGATAATCTGAAATAATTTCACATCCGCATCCGTATCCGTATCCGGTATAATAATAATTCTTATATCCGAAACCTATCCGTATCCGATATTTCATATCCATAACATCCCTATTAATTTATAAAATACAAAAAATATATATCCACCTACTATATTATGAATACAACTATTCTGACTATAATACATACATACAGATATGTTTTTTTTTTAATTCAAAATATCTTTACTCATGTAGGTCTATTACAGACTCTTATGATATGTCAAATCTAGCGTTTGTTCGGAATGATTTCGAGATGAGAAGAACTGACAAGAAACTCATCTCGTATTTTTTTTAATGTTGTACATATTTACAATAATACTATTTCATTTAAATTCAAATTTGGGAGAATACAGTGACCACCAGCATATGCTATATAAAAAAAAATCAAAAAATCTAATCAGTGTTACGCAACCTGAACAGACCAGTCCCCACAAGCAGCATCCGTTCACGAGTATGACGGATGAGCCAGCCATCATTGCACTCAACCATATTAGAGGGAGCACATCAACCTGGCACACCACGCCGCCACAAGTTTGAACTTTATTCGCTATAAAGTTCAAACTTGTGGCGGCGTGGTGGGCCGGGTCGATGTGCTCCACTACGTCATTTATATTATTTACAGCATAAACTGTACCAATCACAGTTTTCACCCATTACAATATTTAATTTACATTACTTAAATTACAATATGTCATAATCATAATCATGTTTTTTTTTTATTAAATGATAATGAATTAGTGCGTCCGACCTCGCTAATGGTTTACACTGACAGGACACCAATGGAGGATTTACATCAGGTCACGTAGCACCCGTCCACGAGGATGACTGACAAGCGAATAATAGTTTATATCTATTAATAGGAGTTTGTTATTTTCAGATCGGAGTGTGCCCACCTCCGCATCACACTCAATCAATAATTTAGCAATAAAGTTGTGGCGCAAGTATTGTGCCACTCCACACCATATAGCGTGTATGGGCGACGTCACGCGACAGTACATACACAAAAGGTCCTTAATGGTACCTGAACAAAATAAGCCCAACACCCTCAAGTTGAACTGTGTGGCCAGGGAGGCTAGCAGATACTCAGCCAGAGATCCCAGATTAAGAATCTAAATTGCCAAAGCCAAATCTTAATAATCAGTATTAAATTTTTGCGGTATTATTTTGAGTACAAAAATGGAATCTAACGATGCTGTTGTTCTGAGAAATAGGGCTACCAAAATCAAAGATCCCGTTAAGGATTTTGCTGTTAGAGAGTCCTTGCTATCAGAATCAACGTCTGGTATTTGTAAAGACGAAGAGGATTCTACTAGTGTTGGTACTACATCATTTTCCAGTCCTGAAGTTAGTAATAATGAACAATTTATTTTCCCCAACAATATTAATGGCACGGCAAACGGTAAGGTAAAAAAAGATATAATTGAAAAACAAAAATTACTACAACCGAAGCCGCTGAATAATCAAGTGAAGATTACAGAAAATCCAGCTGTAATAGAAATTGATTTGGAGAAATTGGATGGCAATGATAAAAAAGTGGCTATACCGGATGGAGGTTGGGGGTGGATTGTAGTACTATCCTCATTCATAATATCTATGATTGCTGATGGAATTAGCTTCTCCTTTGGACTACTATACATAGAGTTTTTAGACGAATTTGAGTCTAGTAAGTCCACAACTGCATGGATCGGAAGCTTGTTTATAGCTGTTCCACTATTATCAGGGCCTATCATGAGTGCTTTAGTGGACAGATATGGGTGTCGAAGCATGACTATTTTAGGAGGCATTGTTTCAACACTCGGATTTGTTCTAGCGTCAATATCGACTACGATTGAAATGATGATGTTAACCTTTGGTGTGATAGCTGGATTGGGTCTTGGATTAGTGTATGTCACCGCGGTAGTATCAATAGCTTATTGGTTTGAGAAGAAGAGGAATTTAGCTGTTGGACTTGGGGCATGTGGTACAGGAGTTGGCACATTTATTTATGCTCCAATGACCCGATACTTCATTAAGGAATACGGATGGAGAGGAACAATACTTCTGCTTTCTGGAACTCTTCTTAATTTATGTGTATGCGGATGCGTGATGAGAGATCCGGAATGGTGGACACTGGAACAGAAGAAACAGAAGAATAATGAAGATAAAGTGAGAAAAGAAGATGACAAATCTAAAAACTCTAGTTCAACTTCTATTATTAATCCATACGCTTTTGATTTCGATGTTGCTACGAGGGGGAAGAGTATGGATGGATTGATCCGTAGAGGGTTGGCACCTGAAAAAGTGATAAGTCAAGAGGCAGCGAGTATTCGGCGTCATCAGAACCTGTTGCTGTACAAGAAAAGGCAATACAAACTAAAACAGAGATCACGCTCCGTTGTTAACTTGCCCACGTATCTGACTTACAGCGATAAGGTAGGTATCATCTATTTATGTTTTTAAGCATTTATGATATCTAGAGATCTTAGTGACTTAGACTTTGTGCAAAGTTGACTGCGTCAGTTAGAAACACTCTCCTCTATCATCTATCATTTTTTATATACTATTAGCTGTGCCCGCTGTTTCACCCACGTGAATGTTCTGTCTTATTTTGATGTATAAGCATCCCTCATCCATCCATCTATCTATACTTCTTAGAATAGGTTGTTAACTATTTTTCATATCCCTTAAAAGAAACGGTAGATAACCCAAAAAAAATCATTTTTTTTTTAATGATCGGCGTTAAAATAATGCATCTAATACTCTACTATTAAGTCCAATTTTTTAACAATTGACGACGACGTGTGCCGGGGTTGCTAGTAGTATATACATATTTAAATATTAAAAAAACATATTATATATTAATTATTTTAAAATACACTATCGGGCCAAACAGAATCTTTCGCAACTTTTTTACTTCACAAAGTAGTTGTTAATGGCGACATATTGTCTATAGTTGAGTAGATGCATCTATGAAATTGTTTGTCTATGCTCACATCATGAGAGTCATATAAACGACTGATAAGTCTAATGTTTATATATTTGAGGTTGTTATTCACAAATACTTAATCATACAAAAAAATCTTTTATTATATGTACATTAAAACATATTAGTATATATTGTGAAATCCTATTTATATGTTATTTATTTTATTTCGTAGCACAGCGTAGGGTTCCAAACTAAAACAACATGTAGACATGGATAAAGTTGCTGGGTACATTTTAATTCATTTAACTTCAATACACACAATACAATATATTATAGTAAATATACTGTACATTTGACCGTCTTAACATCATGCGGCATTTTCTACCAGTCAACCATAGGTGGTGCATAGAATAAATGTTGGCGGTACATCTAGGTACATCTAGTTCAATACAAAAAAAGCTCGTTTTAATTAAATTAATTTGTTATGGATAAATTTACTATCTATCTAATAATACTACATGCATTAGTAGATAGATAATTTACATATCCTATTATATTAAAAAATATCAATAAGAGTTTGTAATTTAAACTGCCGAAGATATCATAGAAACAGAAATACAAAAGATGTGGTCAAATATTTGATATTTGACTACATCTTTTGCGGATATATCAATAGCGGAATCCTACCAAAATACGATCGTCGCTGGTTCGATTCCTCGCACGTACAAACATTTGTATTCATGATCACACTCATGAACATAAATGTTTGTGCATGTTGGTATTAGTTTAGACGTTTTTATTCTATTTCCAAAAATACGTATTAAAATATATCAGTTGTTTTTAATTCATAAAACAAGCTCTGCTTAGTTTGAGACTAGATGGCGCTATGTGTATTATCCTGGGTTGTTATCTTTATACCTACTTATTATTACAATATGTAGGTATAAATATAAATATGTATTCCATATTACGGAACATAATTCATTAATGCTATTCACGCTCGACAATCTTTTTATCTGTAGAGATTAGTTAGTCTTAAGGGTTATAGGCACGTGTTATATTTCGTAATATTCTTAAAGAATTTTGCTATAATTAGAATTAAATCGAGCAGACTTAACTTCATTAGATAAGGTACGGCCCAATAAATTATTTTTCTTTTATCAAACGACAATACTATTACATTTCAGATATCAATGACGATGCTCGATGTCATTGTGAAGACTGCAAGCAAAGAATATGACATAGAAGTGAAGTATCCAGCATTCGCCATATGTCGCAATTCCCGTAGAAAACTTCCAGATGTTTCTATAGATGATAATGACCCGCCTGTAGTTACATATAAAAAGTCCACTTTACAACGAACGAATTCTGAGAAATATGATTTTAAAGATGACAGAGAGTATGAAAATTACCAACTGAAGAATCCTAGACAAGGTTACCCGTTGACTAAGTCTAAATCTGACAATAATAAAGATAGTAAACCGCTTATAAAGCAGGACAGTAAAGAAAACAAACGCGATTGGCTGAAGAAACAGCTGTCGGTGAATCATCACTATTTGAAAGACTTAAAAATGCCAATAAATTCTATAAGTCATAGAAATGCAATACTAAATACAAAAAGGTACAGGTTGAAGGCATCCTCTTGTCCGGATATATTTAAGAACTCTATGATAACAATTGATGAAAAAGAAGAGGTAATAATATTTCTGCATATTTAAATAATATTCGCACAAGCAAAAATAGTAATATAAAACAAAACAATAGTATAAAGCATTTATTAGCAGCTTTTGACAACAGGTTGAAAATAGTAATAATAAACGAGTTTCTTGACAGTTTAACGCGGTCAAATATAAAAATAATAATCTTCCAAAAGTGATAATATAGTTCATTTGTTCATTCATCTCGCTTCGCAGTCATCTCGTTACATACTCCCTTTCTAGTCATATCATGTTTCACACAGTCCATCCATCTCTTTTTCGGCCTTCGTCTGCCCCTATAACCATCCACATTATGATGACTATTGTGTAATATTTTGACATCTTTTTCTAGAAATGGTACGACGACTGCCTCAGCTGCCTCTCCGATATGTTCAACGTCTCTCTCTTCAAGAAGATGACATTCAACCTCATGTGCTTCGGGACCATAATTCTGTTCACTTGGTTCATTGTACCGTACTTTTATTTAGCCGAGCATATGATACAAGAGGGTTACAGCGAAGATGACGGCGCAGATATGCTTAGTTTAATAGGCATCACTAACACTATTGGAATGGTAAGTTGGATTTCTTAATAGGCTTAATTGACTATTGGAATGGATCTTCTTTGCCGAAAAAAAGGATGTTACACCCTTTTTTGGGCAAGACGATGTTATACTCATATTATTATCGTTACATTTTCGATTTTCCTGCTAAAATAAGTGTATGTAGGAGGTGAGGTATGAAAGTAAAATAATTTTTATTAAATCCAGATTGTTTACTATTCCTTTAGTATAAAGAATAAAATATTTAATAATATTAATAACCCTAAACAATTACACAGTGTTATTTAGTCCCAAACTAAGCAGAGCTCGTGTTAGGGGTACGAGACAACTGATGTAAATACTTCGATACATTTGTAAATACATAGAAAACATCCAGACCGATATAAATACTCATACTCATGAATACAAAAGTTTGCACCTAGTAAGAAATATTCGACCATCGGGAGCAAAGAGATGTGTTAAACCACTAGACCATCATACCGTCATTGAAGATGAAGATATTACAAAACTGGCCAAGGTGAGATGTAAGATGACTAATGACAGATAACCGAGGTGGTCACCAGAAATAGATGTTATCCAGTTTCCAAATGTCTGGCAATGGATATATCCGGCGACTGTGCCAAATTCCGTTTGAGAGGAATTTTCTATATTTGTTACCAAATAAATTCACGATAACAATTTTGAAACATGTGTTCCGATTGCAAATATTAAAGTCGAACTCAATCTCAAAATTATACTTTTTGGGCCTATAGTGCATGCCATATTTTTTATCACTATCTCCTCCTGTTTTTCACCCTCAGTTCAGCTAGTTACTTCAGTTGAGAAGAGCTGGCAAGACCATCAACTGCTACACTTTTTTTGGTCAGTTTCAATCTTGAAATCTTACATAGCATTTAAGTACTGTATATGATTAAAATATAAAATCCCACCTGTTTAAACAAAAGAAGTCATAGGCTATTTAATTAAAACTATATAAAACGATGGCCTAGATGGTCTAGCGGTTTCGCACTCCGCCTTACTTCTGGTAGCTAGTTCAATTCTTCGCACGGTACGAACTTTTGTATTCATGTCATGAGAGATGTTAAGTTTTAGTTTTAGTAGTAATCGTTTCAGTATCGAAATTCATTTGTCACTTGTCCGCATAACTAGTAGTATATTTTCGTAAAGTTTAATCAAACAAGCTGCTGACCTTCTTCGTGGAAAGTGGGAACTGTCAAGTTGATACGTAAGCAGCACTACGGTCATTACAGAATATAATATTCTGTAGCCTTTGGTACCTTTTATATCTTATCATAGCTAAGGCATTAGCTCGAAAGAACTCTGAACTGACGGTAGTTTAGTCATATCATAAGCGTGTAATCGATCTATATGAATAAAGATATTTTGATTTGATTTGATTTAAGGATTGTTGTTGAACGCTCTTGGGAGTTTTAAATGATAATATTATATGAAATGCAAAAATAATCCTTCACCCGTAGCCATATAAGTCTTCATTTTCTTTTCAGGTTGGTCTCGGCTGGATTGGAGATTTTCCACAAGTTTCCATTGGCAACCTGTATGCAGTATGCTTGGTACTATGTGGTGCTTCGGTCGCAGCTCTACCATTAGCTGCACACGATTATTGGATTCTAGCATCTGTATCCGCAGCATTTGGTCTACTTTTCGCTGCCTCTTTCACATTCACACCAAGTTTATTGGTGAAATTGGTGTCTTTGGATGATTTCACTTCAGCTTATGGATTGGTCTTGTTGGCTCAAGGGATTGGACATCTTATCGGTCCACCGTTGTCTGGTATGTATCTATTAAATATTATAAATCTTGAGGCCTTTGCCATCTAGGTATATTCACGTAAAATTTCATTAATATCCTCACAGTCATTTAGTTGTGAAAAGTTGACAAAAAGAACACTCTTCATTAATTTATAGTAATATCCGTTTTTTTTATAATATTTCGATGTCTACGTATTGTATACACTTATAATTCTTATGCCAATATATCTTTATTTATTTATTTCATTTAATCGGAAATATTGATAAGTAGTGTTGTAATATTGGCTAGATTCGAACTTACATATGAAGAGTCATAGGTAAATATGTTTATAGCTACAGTAATCTATTCTTCCAGGAATGATATACGACTTGACCTTCTCGTGGGAGCTGTCGTTCTACCTCGCCGGGGGCTGGATTGTTGTTTCTGGAGCGTTGATATCCCTCATACAACCAGTACGTTCCTATCAGCAGCGCCGCGATGACAAATTGGAGAAAGACAGTAACTCTAGCGTAGCATAGACGGACATTCGAATTATATTGTTCTTTTAAGGCCTAAATTAATGGAGAATATATATTGTTGATTTAAATAGACAAACTTACGACGTGCCACAAATATCTATGGTTACACGACAATTAGCAGATGCCATCATCATTTAGTTCATCATCATCAATAAAAAAATCAATGACATTCTCATCTTTAGTTGGAACAATCCAGGAGGACAATGTGAAGATAATCTGTGGTCACTTGTCCTCATTACTAACACTCCCCACCTATAGTCTGATTTTAATCTCGGAGACAAATAAATATAAGGTTATTGCATCAAAATAGATTTATAATTATTCACTAAAATAAATACTAACAGCCTTTCTATAAAATAATTGACCTTTGTATGGTGTCATGTATCATAAAACATACACCTATTTTAATATTTTAGCTGTTTGAAGAAAAAGAATTGCTGGTTTGTAGCATTATATTGAAAAAAATACTATAAGTACGAAAAACAAACAAAAAAAATTTTTTGTGTTGTATAATACAACGAAAGTAATGGAAATACTAGTATATACATGTAAATTTTAAAAACTATTATGTTAAAGTAAAAATTTCCAATTAAACAAATCAGTATCATAGGTACAGCACTACCCCGTTATAGGTGGTAACATTACCTATTTGAAAATTATACATTTATAACCTGTCTCCGTGATTAAAAAAGAGAGTATAGATCATCAGTGAATAAAGTGTTCCTCTATATATTAACCTGTGCCGAAACCGTCTCTATATAATTGTAGGTATAGTTATTAGACGTTTAAGTCAAACATTCGACATTGGAGTGTAGTAGACATTACGTCAGATTCGACGTTTTTTTAGTCAATTCTAAACACGTTTAAAGATCAAGTTCTAAATTGAAATGTATCTTTTTAAAAAGACATGAAGGTAAAGTGATTTAATAAACAGGAAAGTAATTTATGATTAACTTTATGTACTTGAATGGGTTCAACTTTTGAATCAATTCGAAATTCAAATATCACGTAGGACATTTTAGCCAGTTATAAAATTTTTCTCATATTATAATTATTTCCCTATAGTCCAGTTCAGTATATAGATCCTGAACGGTCGTTTGTCGGCCGACCGTTAAGATTGTCGTCGGTAATGAAAGATAGCTTGTTTTATAATGAAATATAATTTATAAAATCCCTATATTGTTGTCCGTATTCGTATCTGTCAATTGTTCTTATGTCCTAGTCACGTCATATAAGCGGCCAGCAAGCACTCCTGTCAAAAAGGCCGCAACAGATCCAATTGAGAAGAACTGGCAAGTAACTCAATTGAATTTTTCTTTTAATTAATTTATTTTGTGTATTGTACCGAACTTACAATGGGTTGTGTTTTGTGGAAGCATTATATCAAAAATGCTTACAACTACCTTTTCCCATTGCACCGCTTGACATTGACAGGGAACTCATCTAAACATCTCGGACAGTGCGGCTTCAGACGAGCTTGTTTCGCGTACACTTAGGTTGTGTGATTTTTAATGAAGATATAATAAGGTTTCTTATGAATCGGCAACGCGTATGTACTCGTAATACGACTATTGTTTCAGTCTATCACCCTTCCATTGTCCAGAGCCTAAGTTTGAAACCCCTATAGGTACTCTGAGAGTAAAGTCGTATCCGTCAGGCAGGAGTTAGCTGTCAGCCGCTCCATAAGTCCTTCCGGGAGTGCCATCTGCATTCGCCCCCGATCGTTTGATGGAGTTGTAAGGGTCTATTGTGGCCAACAGTATTAGAATAGTTAAAAAAAAACGTTCATAGGAATATAATCGTCGCTATTATACATAAAAAGCCATCACGTCCGCTATATCAGTCTGTATGACGCTCCTGATTGAAAAAAAAAATAATTTTCGACATTGTTTCTTGGAGAGAGTTGTTCATTTACATTGTCATATATATTAGAAAAAAAATTCGTTGATATGTAGTACCTTTTTGATAGTCAATTTTATTTGGTATTTATGTAATTAGAAAATAATTTGTGCCTTTACTATTATGTAATATGTATGTTACAATCTAAATATATATAACTCAAAGGTGATTGACATAGTAATCTATCAACGCACAGCCCAAACCACTGGACGGATGGGCTGAAATTTGGCATGCAGGTAGATGTTATGACGTAGGCATCCGCTAAGACAGGATTTTGATTAATTCTACTCCCAAGGGGATAAAATAAGGGATGAAAGTTTGTATGAAACTTTCTCAATTTCAAACCGATCGGGCTGAGATTTTGCATGCATAAAGCTATTATGACGTAGGCATCCCCTAAGAAAGGATTTTGATGAATTGCACCCCTAAGAGAATAAATCACGCGGGCGAAGCCGCATGTAAAAGCTAGTTTAATATAAAGTGATACTTAAAACAAAGTGACGGTCATATTAATAACTTCCAATTTAGATCAATTTAGTTACCAACTTCCTAATTTATAACATTAAACGTCACTAAATTTCGATGCTATTCGGTTAACTTCATCCTTCGAGCTAGAGGTAACAGCCCCAGAACATAGTCTGACCAAATTCGCTTTTCGCTGGGCTCCAGTTTCCATGATGTCCTCCATTATGAAAAAAAAACATCTATTCAAAAGAGCAACACACAAGTTTCTTACTCATTCTTCTTGTGATGAATCTACATTCCGAATGAGTGGTAGAATCAAAATATAACTATTCAAAAGTGCTTGTAATGAGTTTATTTGAATAAAATTCTTTCTATTTCTATTTCTGTTGACTCAAATGAAGGGGTTTAATCAGAGAGTAATATTGCAGGGCTGACATTACCCCCAGGAATGAGGAAAACGACTTAAGGATCTCTCTCGTTTTCCTCATTCCTGAGGACGTTAATTTCATAAATATATAATGGGTATTGAATAAAACATATTTTCAATTTTACGTTTGCCATATTTTAATTAAGTATGATGTTGTTATTTGTTCATAATAAAAATAATAAAATGGATGATTATTAACACAATAATATAAAATATATTAATAAATTTTATTGCTTGATTTTATTTTCTATAAACGGGAAATATATTATTAGGTATGTAATGCAATTTGATTGTCCTGTTCGAAATGTGTTATGGAATTAACGTTTAAATATTAATAAAAACAACAGTACACAATAATTTCACTAGTTAACTTACCCAAGTTGAGAGATATCATTGTAAAAAAAAAACATTACTATACCTACTATATTCCCAGAAACAAACTTCTTTTTATTACTTACTTAACTTTATGCGCTTTAAATTAATGTCTTTGCCTAGTAATGCGAACAATAAAAAAAAGTAATACATATTATGTTAATTCTGTAGAAAAAAAAACTCAAGCGAAGCAACGAATTTAAAAATGTGGTCTTATTATAAAAATGTCCATTTACAGGTTTGTTTTTATTACAAAAAGTATTATATAAAAAATACATATTAATACGTTATTTAAAATGTATTTTTTATATTTTTCCTGTAGCTTGTCATTATCATTTCTATTATTACATAAAGAGTAATAATAGTTATTTTATTCAAAAGTCCAGAAATAGGAAATAAATAATTCAAAAGTGCTCTAAATATGTTCTGATAAATTGGCAATTGTAAGTTGTTTTCGATGTCATTTTTACACATTAAGATTAGTTAGAAAAAATAGATCCTTATTTATTTTATAATAATGTCATAAAAGGTGCTGCATTTTCGAAAATATTCTCTCTTCGGAATTTTTTTAGGAAATAAGAATTATATACTCTGTGGATTATTGGTATATCTACATTTCATAGTGATGTCTATTATATACTCTTTAGCTAAATATGTACTTTTTGGCAGTAGGCTGTATGCCTTACTGCCTAATAAATTAAAAATATTAATAAAAAAAGTATTAACCATACTTAACTAAAGTTGAATTTCGAATATTTTAGAATTCAAAAAAAGTGAGTTTAGGAATGATAAGAATTGCACATTAGATGGAATATTATTGAATAATTTATATACTTTAGCACAATATAATTATATTTTTAATATAATTAATGTTCGATGTGTAATAAAATATAATTGATATACCTATTACTGTTATTACTCTGTACTCTTTGTACGTATGTTATTCAATATAAATTTAAGAAAATAACCATTTATATTATGAATAAATGATAATCTCAAAATATTAGTTTCTTTTATATAACACTGTTGATCGATATAAATTGTATAGTCCTAGTTTATAATTGCACGCTGAGTAGGGCTCTTTAGGTAGCACCTAATGAGTCCTATTCAATTTGGACTTTATCAGAGTCCTACTGTTGATAAAATGGAAAAACAGATTATTAATTTTTATTTTTTACCACGTATGTCACAAAAAATAGAACATGAAGAAGGGGGTTTCCTATAACCAGGCTTGGTTACATTATTGGTCTGATGCTAGGTGTCTTTTACAATAAGTATTCTAAAACATAACTCCTTTTTTAGACAGTCGGATAATTACGAGAATATGTTTGCATTTACAAAAGAAATTAAGCAATTTTTCCTCGTGACAACAGTGAATTATCTCATTGCATGTAGTGTATTGTAAACTGAAAACATACTGATATATTTCCTGTCTGTACAAGCCTTGTTAGGGCAGTTTTTTTAATGGAATGGTGCACCCGCCTGCGCTAATGCGCTGGTTGGAAATGTAGGATAACAGGATGAGCATGAAGTTTGGCCAGTTACGAATTCACCAGAAACTAACCACGATGGTTTTCAGAGGGAACGCATGGAGGTCGACCCAATATGGTAAATTGTTAGCAATGGGTTTACTATTCCTCATGACTACCCTTACGCCCTTATTAGCATTTTATAATATTAATGTAATTTAGCATATTAAACTTATATGTATATACGTTACGTATGTATCAATAATTATTAAAACTACCTCGGACCTCGGACGATGCAAGATACCACATTACTAGCATTTTGTTTGGTTTTTTTATATTTAATTATTGTTGTACGTGTCAATAAATTTTATACCATTCTAAGAGAGTAAGAGAGTCAATAAATTTTATACCATTCTATTCACACCTTTAACTTTCAAATATCTTACGTT